AAACATCCACACCAAGAGAAGGCATGGCATTTATAGGTTTTGCATTTTTTTCATTTGGGGCAATAAAGATTATAATGTAATTTCAGGTAGCAGTAAAATAAAACAATAATGTTTTTTTAAACATCTTCAAACGTTTTAGAATTTGGGAAAACTCTGTCAAGTTCAGTGTACACTGTAATCAAATATAGGGACTAAAATGTGCTTAACCTTACAGCCATTGTTGTGATTACATCTACTTCCCTGTTGCTCTTTGAAAAAAAGTTGAAGTAAGCAACAGCAAAAAAAAAAACAGGAACAATTTAAAACTCCATCCCAACATTCTGGGAAAACTGAATGAGGATCCAGTCATTTAGAATGGGACATTCACAATGACTGGGTTTTTTTCCATGATCGCACATTAAACCATTAAAATTATTCATTTATTTGACAAAAAATTAATTTATTGGTTGCCATCATTATGTGACGGGCATTTCAAGCAATATGGCAAAAATGTTCAACAAACACATCATCTATTGCACCTTTAACCAACAGTGTTTTATTTTTATTTCCTGTTTTGGCCCTTGTGGGGCTCCATATTGGGTCACCAAAATTCACTTTTGAACATTTGGCTGATGATCATCAATATACAACAAATTTTAGTGAACATATTAATCTGGGCTTCATTGGACATCTTCACTGTGACACTGTGAATGATTAGAAAACAGACTGTAAAGACGGGCATAGCCTGGCATTCAGGGATTTGCTGCGAGACCTACAAAACCACAGGAATTTGAATAAACATAAGGGATCTGCTCTATTTGTAGTGTTAAAATACATGCAAAGTCCTGATCAGTCAAACCTCCTGACTAAAACCATCTGCATGCTGGTTTGTTGTTAATGCTATCAACTGTTTACATCTTTGTTTCTTTGCAGCAACCCGGGTGCACCAATGAAGACTTTCTGGATCGTGTCCATTTTCCCCATCCTGTTGTCTGCAGGCCTGCTCATGGTAATCATGGGCCAGTACAAAGAGATGGAGATGATAAACACGAGAGATGGCGAGATGATGAAGGTCACAAAGACTGTGTACGACAGACTTCAGTATGAAACCAGGTTTAAACAGTCTCTGGAGTCACTAATAGCTGCAGCACAAAAGTCCAAGAAGGATTTGGAAGCTTCAGTGGTCGAACTGAGCCCGCGGATGGAGGGCAAGAAAAAGGAAAACGATGCCTGTCAACAAGAAGTGGTAAACTGTTTTTTGTTTCTTGGTTCTGTCTCTTTTTCATGATCAGAATAGTTTAACACACAAAAATAAAGAGATCATTGTAAAGCAGCGCAGAACCAAAATAACCCTTAAAGAACAAACCCTACCAAAAACCAGCCTGTTTGGAAGAATTTACAGCCTCACAGAGCGCACAGGTGTGATTTTTAGCTATAATTTAGTGTTGTAGAAGCAGAGAGTCAAACCAAACACATTATCTCAACTCACCTGGCTAAGTTTACAGCTTTTAAGCAGCCAAAGGCCTATTTCCACAATCCAAACTTCTGCATAATTTTAATGGTCATTCATGACACGTGCATGTCTCTAATCTAACCGTTAGCCTTAGCAACTTCACCATGCATCAGAAGCTCCTTCAGGCTTGTGTTAGTTATGGAGATAAAACAACCATGTTGCAAGTCAGTGGTAGAGTCGCGTTGCTGTTATCCAATCTGAGGCTAGACGTCCAAATGTCAGGAAACGAGACTCCAAAACCTGCCGTCAGCAACCCAGTCCCAATACTCGCACGTCCACCCTTGCCCCCTTCAACTGCATGATTCCATCCATGGGCGCGAGTGTGTAGGGTGCCTCAAATCTCAAGTGTGGAAGCTCACCACACTCCATTTTTCACTATTGATCCGTACTCACCCACAATAAATGATAAATTATAAATGACCCGCACTTGTATAGCACCTCTCAGAGTAAGGACTCCAAAGCGCTTTACACCACAGTGTATCGTTCATCCACTCACACACACATTCACACACTGACGGGGATGAGCTACAATGTAGCCACAGCTGCCCTTGGGCGCGCCGAGCACAGGCGCCACCGGTCCCTCCGACCACCGTCAGCAGGCTAGGTGGGTTAAGTGTCTTGCCCAAGGACACAACAGCGGAATTCTCTGTCCGGAGCCGGGATCGAACCTGCAACCTTCCGATTACTGACAACCCGCTCAACCTGTTGAGCTACTGCTGCCCCTAATCCACTGCTGTGTTGATTTTAGTACGATTAATGATACTTATTCATGCTCTGACTGTTTTAGACTGAGATTTAATGTGCACAGCAATTAATGGACATTTTGTTTGAAAGTTTTTAATTTAAGACTTTTTTTAAAAAGTAGCACAAACAGTGACTAGCATCCCGGCCTGCATAATGCAATGCAATGATCCCTGTCCCAATTCGGCACACTTGTGTACATACTATGACTAACGCACTTGAACCCTTACTGCGCACTTCCTCCAAGTGCACTTCGCAGAAGGGCGTAGCGCGAGTATTGGGATTGGACCTGAAGCTCAACTCTGATGTGGGTCACTGCTAGTTCCTGGAAATGGTGCACCGGTATATTTTAATTATATTTTGTAAGAACAACTTACAAGGCATTTGTTCCTATTAGAAACCACTGTAAATATGTTTATTAAATTAGTGAACTACACCTTTACATTTCACAAATCCCCCCAGGGTTTCATCTTTTTGTTGAAGATTGAAAGAATAAATATTCTGTTGGGTAAATTTGGGGTGTTTGACAGTTTTATCTGATATTTTTTCTTATTATTCTTTAGCAGGCTAAGAAGAATGAGGTGGTGTCCAAAGAGGAAGAACAGAGGAAGACCACAGGTAAAGAAAACACCTAATAGTTAAAGCCCAGCTGCCACCATGTGGTCAAACGGCTCAAACACAAATCTTTAAAGCTGTTTTTATTTTATTTTTTCTCACCAAGAAACAATAAACTCTGAGACTGAATCCTGGAAAAAGCAAATTGATAATTTGAAAGCGACTCTGGAGGGACACAGTGCGATATGTGATCACGTGAAGCCGGAGAAAAAAGCTTTGTGAGTCACAAAAAAGTGTCAAAAGGAATCAAATTTTCCCAAAAGGAGCACGCATAACATGTTTACCTCTTTGTTTTCCAGGGAGTTGTGTGGGAAAGCGAACACAACAAACGCAGCCTGAACACAGAGTCCGTGTGTGTGTGAGCTTGTGTGTGTGTGTGTGTGTGTGTGTGTGTGTGTGTGTGTGTGTGTGTGTGTGACAGATATGTCAAGGGAATAATTTTCCACAAAATTCTATCAATTATCTCATGGTTTAATTGTTGCTTTTATTTAAAATCACAGTGTCATCGTGACTGACAGGTTAATTCATTTGAACTTTGTATTTTTCTATTTTTTAATAATAAATATTTTTAGGACCACTGGATTCATTGTTCTTTTGTTAGTGATGTGGCTCATTCATGCTTTCAAATGAAAGAAAAAAAAACCATATAATTTTCTCCTGTTTTCTTCTTTCTTCTATATGCAACCACTTTATTTTTTTCAGGGTTTCAGCAAAATAAGAAGCATTTTAAAAACCTTTTATGAAAGAATAAAAACCCTGATTAATAAAGAACCAATATTATTAATGCTGATTTCATGCCATGTTTTTCCTTCTTTAAGTCAACATCTTATTATTTTTAGGTCTTTTTTTTTTTTTTTACTATAAAAACAACAATTTTTGGTGTGCTGTGTCAGGCGTGCTGGTGAGTGTGAGACGGAGGTGAGGATCCACACGCGGGTGAAGAAGGAGACAGGCAGGCAGGCAGGCAGACAGGAACATTAAAACAGGGATTTTAATCGGGAACACGCTGAAACAATGATCCAACACGAGACACAGAACTGAAGGGGTTTAAATACAAGATGGGAGCTTGGGTGATTAGGTAACGAGAGGCAGGTGGGAGCAATTAACATGGACAGGACTGAACCAAAAGGGGAGACAGGACAGGGTGTGACACGTTTCGGAAAGAGAAGAAAATATATATATATATGTCAACAGTCATAGAAGAATTGAAGCTGCAAGGAGCGAAAACATTAAATGCTTCATAAACACAGATAAAAAACCAACAACTTGAGAGGTGCATGCCAAAATCGAAATAAAGGAAAAAGTATTCAATACCCAGTCATTCGTGCACTTTTTATAGTTGATCGAAAGCTTTTAGATTCTCTGAAGTCTCAATTTGTTTAAAACCAGACAGAATATTTTCTTCCTTTCAGTGTTTTTTTCATGCGTCATGAAGAACCCATGGCTTCAGATTTAAGGATCACGTGCTTTTTCCTACATTTATGCTTCCTTCTTATTCATGAGTTGAAATATCTTTCACAATATAAATAGAATACCGGAATCAATAAAGACGAACTGAAATCAAATGAAAATAATCTCAGGAATTTTCAATAAATGAGATATTTTAAGTAGTTAAAGGAAATATCACTGCAAAATGTTTGAATAGTTAATTATTATTTGTAAAATTATGATTTATTGTAAATGTAGAGTATCAATAAATAAGTATACATTTTCAAACTACTACAATAAAAATGTATTGATTTTGTAGATCTATTTATTATAGTTTCTTTGACTATTTTTAAGAATATCATATGAAGCAGTTTGCTATTTTGTCAAAAGAATGCAAACCTCTCAGTTTACCGCAGACTAAATTGGAGGAATTTGTGAACTATTTGCAAACACGAGAAGAGTAAAGAGGTCCATTTTCTATATCAGATCACTTGCAGCGTGGCTGCACCACCTGGTAACTAATTCATGACGTTTTTGTCCCTGCTGACTGGGACACTTCCCACCCTGACAGCGCAACATGAACCTGCAGCCGCTCCAGGACGCGCCTCCGGGGAGGAGGGGGAGCAAGGGGGAGGGGGTGAGCTGACGCGGTGATGACAAAAAAAAAAAGCCGATTATTGAAGGCTACTGAATCCTCTGTGTCAATGTGCTGGTCAGACGGGAGGTGAACACGTCTGCGGCTGAAGGTTTGATGGGAATTTATCTGGACTTCTTTATGGAAAAGGAGATCTCAGATTTTTTTGTAATTTATTTAGGAAAATTAGGATTTAGTTTTAAATTGTTTTATTTAATAGAATATTTTCTGTTTTAATTTTTGTCAGTTTATTTTTTTCATTATAAAACAAAGTTGGACACCAGGTAAAACATGGGATTTATGAAAAACGTCATGAGAAAGTAAACTTTCCAAGTGTGCAGAAGTCAAATCAACATTTTTATAAAATGATCAGCCCATCCAGGAGTATAGAGGACCAGAAAGGTGTCGGTGAAAGCCCAGCTCCCAAACCAGAACTTTCCCGGTACCGCAGCTGGAGCAGCCTCCGCTTCTCCAGGTGGAGAAGCAGCTCCCAGAGGACCAACAGCCCTCCTGGTACCCCCTCCCCAAACACAGAGAAAAGGAGCGATGTGACCAGGACCCTCTTCTCCCTGGTCAAGACACATAACGATGACTACTCTGCAGACCCTGATGGCACGCTGGACATCGATGGAGACGGGGAAGGACACATCGATGACCTCCTGCAGGACCAGTCCACCTACTTCCAGAAGCAGTTTGGCTCCATGCTGCAGCCGGGGGTCAACAAGTTCTCCCTGCGCATGTTTGGAAGCCACAAGGGGGTCGCTGCAGAACAGGAAAGGGTCAAGAGCTTCGGAGTGTGGATCATCCACCCCTACAGTGACTTCAGGTAACGTTTAATAACAGGGGATTGTCAATTTCCATCTCATGAATCCTGTAACATTCGTGCCTCCTGCAAAAAGCAGGAACGGTGGCGTCATTTAGGGATTCCTCATAATTTTCCTTGAAAGCATCAGCTCCCCCCAAATAAAGAAGCCAGCCAAACAAGCAGCTTGTGACGCTCACGTCCCATTTTCCAAGGACATCAGCTGATGTCACGGTTTGGCGCACATGATAAGATGATGAAGGGATCTGATTAGCAATACAGTATATAGGACAAGATCAACCGGATTAATCGACTCTCGCGTGGCTCTTTGTGTTGACATGGACTCACATTCATTGATTTCATTACTGAGAATACATCCTTTTGTTCTTCTCTGGCATGACCTTATTTTTTTAGGAGGATTTCAGTTTGAGAGGTTAAGTAACTGCAATATCGCGTGGACATCAGGGGCAGTCCCACTGGACTGGCAGACCGGGGTGGTGGTCCCCTTTTTTTAAAAAGGGGGACCGCAGGGTGTGTTCCAACTACAGGGGGATCACACTCCTGAGCCTTCCTGGTAAGGTCTATTCAGGGGTTCTAGAGAGGAGGGTCCGTCGGAATGTTGAACCTCAGATTCAGGAGGAGCAATGTGGTTTTTGTCCTGGCTGTGGAACACTGGACCTGCTCTATACCCTTAGGGGGATCCTGGAGGGTGTGTGGAAGTTTGCCCAACCAGTCTACATGTGTTTTGTGGACTTGGAGAAGGCGTTTGACCGCGTCCCTCGGGAGGCCCTGTGGGGCGTACTCCGGGAGTATGGGGTACCAGACCCTCTGATACGGGCTGTTAGGTCCTGGTATGACCGGTGTCAGAGCTTGGTCCGCATTGCCGGCAGTAAGTCGGGCTCGTTCTCAGTGAGAGTTGGACCCCGCTAAGGCTGCCTTTTGTCACCAATTCTGTTCATAACCTTTATGGACAGGATTTCTAGGTGCAGCCAAGGTGTGGAGGGCATCCGTTTTGGTGGCCTGAGGATCAGGTCTCTGCTTTTTGCAGATGATGTGGTTCTGTTGGCTTCATCAGAATGTGATCTTCAGCTTTCGCTGGAGCGGTTCGCAGACGAGTGTGAAACAGCTGGGATGAGAATCAGCTCCTCTAAATCTGAGACCATGGTCTTGATTCGTAAAAGGGTAGAATGCCTTCTCCGGGTCAGGGATGAGGTCCTGCCCCAAGTGGAGGAGTTTAAGTATCTCGGGGTCTTGTTCATGAGTGAGGGAAAACTGGAGCGTGAGATCGATAGGCGGATTGGAGCTGTATCTGCAGTGATGCGGGCGTTGTACCGGTCTGTCGTGGTGAAGAGAGAGCTGAGTCAGAAGGCGAAGCTCTCGATTTACCGGTCGATTTACGTTCCTACCCTCACCTATGGTCATGAGCTTTGGGTAGTGACCGAAAGAACGAGATCGCGGATACAAGCGGCCGAAATGAGTTTTCACCGAAGAGTGGCTGGGCTCTCCCTTGGAGATAGGGTGAGTAGCTCGGTCATTCGAGAGGGGCTCGGAGTAGACCTGCTGCTCCTCCACACTGAGAGGAGCCAGTTGAGGTGGCTCGGACATCTGGTCAGGATGCCTTCTGGACACCTCCCTGGTGTGGTTTTCCGGGCACGTCCAACCGGGAGGAGACCTAAAGGTAGACCCAGGACACGGTGGAGGGACTATGTCTCTCACCTGGCCAGGGAATGCCTTGGGATTCCCCCGGAGGAGCTGGCCCAAGTGGCTGGGGAGAGGGAAGTCTGGGCCTCTCACCTTAGGCTACTGCCCCCGCGACCCGACTCCGGATAAGCGGATGAAAATGGATGGATGGATGGATGGATGGATGGATGGAGGTAGGTAGGTTAAGTAACATGCTGACAATGAAGCCGAGGCAATCTGTCCCTGGACACAATAACTGGCATCAAATTTGAGCAATTTTAACCATCAAGCCTATGCCAGACAGAGGGAGGATAAACCCGTGCATTGGGGATTATTGCCCATAAGAATCCCTATAATTCCCATTATGTAATAATACACAGACAGCTGAGGGGGAGATTATAGAGGGCTGGCTCTCCTTAAACCTTATGGTCCAACTTCCTCTTTGAAAGGGACCAACTGGGGTGGCAAAATCTTAAAATGTTAAAACCAAAAAGATGTGTTTTGTTTATTTGGATCCAAAATGAAGTTTATTTCCCCCAAAATACAGATGCTTTGACATGCTTACCTTCAGTCAGATAGGATGAACAGACTGACTTGGTGTTGCTTTCAACCAACTATTAATATCAAGCAATTTTCTCTAATAATAGCTCATCTAAAAGGGTTTAATGCAGCAGAAGTGACTCTCTTACACACTAAGCTCACATTAAAACGCACGCCAGGCACATGTCGACAGCTGCACAACCTCCCCAGGTCTTTGCTGGAGTTATTAGCAGCAGGAACTGTCCATTAATCTGCTGCAACATGAGATGTGATGATAAGTAGTCGTGTAAACTGGCGCGTTGACATGGACGACATAGCCATGAGAGATTGGCAGGTGGAGGAAAGTTAGCAAAAAAATCATTGAAAAGCTCAGTTAACTGATGTTAACTTGGTTTGTGTTGCAATCACTGAATGGTGGCGAGTAATCAACAAGAAAACAAATAAATAAATTCTGTTTGGAGATTCTGTTACGGTGCCAGAAAAGTGAGAAGGAGCCCGTGGGTGATTGATCTTTGATGTAAATAATCTGTAAGGAAATCCAAACCGTGATCAACGAGACACTGGAGACACATGTAGGCCAACACAACGTTGTTTGAGAGGACGCAAACAATGAAAGTATGTGGGGCACGAAGTTCCCAGAGCAGACATTTCCACTGGTAGTGATACTTCCCTTTGTTGAATGTGTATCGATCCCAGTGGAGCCAAATGTGATGTATTTTTAATGGGAAAGGGGTTCCTCCTGTGACAGGAACTGTGACAGGAACCAATGACACACTGACCTCCTGGTGGGATGACTTAGTTTGTTCAACTTTAGTTTCACTTCTGGAACTTCAAGAAATTGTTTAATTCCGGTAACTAATCTATGTATGAGCTGCAAACGCCAAAATGGTTGGATTTGCTTTTTTATTCCCACTGTGCTCGGATGAAACACACCCCAGAGCTTACATTATGCATCCATGGAAAGGCGGGGTAAGCGTTGACGGGTGATGTCACAATATGGGATATATTTAAAGTGCTCGTATAAGCGTATACTTCCTGAAACCAAACACTGGTAGAAATCAGATGCATGGGTTTTGTTCTATAATATTACATTATATGTATTTGTTTTTTGGAGTGTTTACAGAGGCAGCACAAAAATATGTATAAAGTGAGTTTTACCAAATATGTCCCCTTATAAGTGACTGTGTGTTTTACCAGGCAATAGGGGGCAGTACATACCTAAATCTTTCCAAGCAAGTGTTATTTTTGTGTTCGAGTAAGACCTTACCAATGAATGGCCATTAGGGTCAAAAATCTGTGGGAGCGCAACTTCCAGCAAAATGACAAGCGCATCATCACTAGCAATGAGCGAAGAGGTAAACGTGTAAACCAACAATGTTTATGACTGGCAAACATTTTGAAACTGTTACAAATCAGTAAATGCGTTGTGTCCTCACGGGCTCCCGTAGAAGGAAACATGGCGTCACCCAAAGACTTCGACCTGTATTTTAGACCTGATTTTTATGGTTATATGTTACAAAGCCACCAATTTTTTAACAGTTGGGCATCATTTAATTCATTTTCAACATTTCAAATGATATTTCCAGAGATTAATGGTAAAAACTACACACTGTCTCTTTAAGATTGGTTGAGCTCACATTTTGGGAAAAATAGTCAAATTAGTTAAATATACAATAAAATAGACAAACCTGCATAGTTAGAACTAATGTTCGTTTATCTGACCACACCACCCTCTCTGCTTGTGTGCAGATTTTACTGGGACATTGTCATGCTCTTGTTGATGATGAGTAACCTGGTGATCCTGCCCTGGGGAATCACCTTCTTTGAAGACCAGAACACCATGCCCTGGATCATCTTCAACGTTCTGTCTGACACTCTCTTTCTTATGGATCTGGTTTTTAACTTCCGTACGGGAATCCTGGAGGGAGACAGCCACATTATCCTGGACCCCAAAGAGATCCGCATCCATTACCTCCGCACTTGGTTCATGGTGGACTTCATCTCCTCAATTCCTGTCGACTACATCTTTCTCATTGTGGACATGGAGTCCCGGCACGAGTCATCCGACGTTTACCGTACCGCCCGGGCTCTACGAATCGTGCGTTTCACTAAGATTCTCAGTCTGCTTCGTCTTCTCCGGCTTTCCCGACTCATCCGATACATCCACCAGTGGGAAGAGGTAAAGCAATAGAAGACATTCCGAACATTTCTGTGTACTTTTTCTTTCATTTAACTTTCTCTCTCACAGATTTTCCACATGACCTATGACCTGGCCAGTGCTGTAGTGCGCATAGTCAACTTGATTGGAATGATGCTTCTGCTGTGCCACTGGGATGGCTGCCTGACTTTCATGGTTCCCATGCTGCAGGAATTTCCTTCAGACTGCTGGGTATCTAAAAACAACATGGTGGTGAGTAGAGGATGATAAAATGCTATCAAATAAACACATTGCAAAAGAGATGAGCCAGATCTTATGACGTGTGGAAAGGTCATACACAGTTGGGGTTGGCATCTTACCTGTTATGGAGAAATCTTTGAATGATCTCATTCGGAATAAATGGGGGTTTAGTTTGACACACTGAGGTTATTTTGGTAAAAATATCACTACATTCAGACTGAAAGTGCCACAGGTTGCTAGCGTTCTTGCTAATTGAAGGCAAAAAACAATGGACACAAGTAAAAATAGCAAAACACTAAGCTAACAATTCTGAATAAATGAAAAAATAACAACTCTGATCAAGAATGAACCCAAAACCTGGACACAAGAATCTCACATTCCTTGCTTGTCTCTTGCATTCTTTTTTTAGCCATTCTAATTGAAATTTCTTTGCAGAATGCTACCTGGCACATCCAGTACTCCTACGCCCTGTTCATGGCCATGAGTCACATGTTGTGTATAGGATATGGAGCTCACCCTCCTGAGGGCATGAGTGACGTCTGGCTCACCATGATCAGCATGGTGGTTGGAGCCACCTGCTATGCCATGTTCCTGGGTCACGCGACCAACCTGGTCCAATCCCTGGACGCGTCCCATCGCCAGTATCAAGAGAAGGTAATGGCTTCCCCTCTTACGTTTTTGACCTACACGCTCAGATGTTTCTGCTGACAATAGGTCCTTGGAGCGTCACACAAACACTAATGTTCTTGTGGCTTTGTGTGTTGTCATAATATCCATGCTTCTCATTTACGTATGCCACATGAAATGTATATCATCTAATGGGTTTTATGGCTTCCCTCTGACCCCTTTCAGGGGATTTTCGCATGATAAAGTTAAGCAGATGAGGACAAATGGCTGGCACCTTTGTTGTGGATCACTGTCTGCTGATTGCTGCTGCTAATGAGTTTGTAATCCACTTAAAATGGGAGGAACAAAGCTAGTAAATCAAATGGACTGACTGTCTGATTACTGTGGAATAATTCACCAAACACATGTTGGAAAATGTGACCAATTGCAACATCTTAAATCAGTCCACACAAACAATGTTTGTATCCTCGCAATGGTCAGAAGGTGATGTGTTTTGTGCAACTTTTTGCAGTATAAGCAAGTGGAACAGTACATGTCGTTCCATAAACTGCCAGCGGATGTAAGGCAGAGGATTCACGATTATTACGAGCATCGATTCCAAGGCAAGATGTTTGATGAGGACAGCATACTTGGAGAACTCAGCGATCCACTCAAGGAGGTGGGTCATTCATCAGATTCTTGACTCAATATCTTTCCTTCTAGCTTGATTCCCACTTCTCTTTATGCCTTGTTTTTAAAAGGCTGAATTGTACTGCATTTAATCAGAAATTAGTCCAGTAAAGCCAATGACTTTAAAAGTTTTCATACTTTACTGGATGATTATGCAGTTGATATTTTCCAAAAAAAATTGATTAGTAAAATAAGCTAAATGCATCTCTTACGGACAAAGCTGGTTTAAGACTAGCATTCAACTCTAAGACAGACACAGGGTGAAAGATGGCATTGTGAGAGTTCAAAAGCCTAAATTTTTTACACCCAAAAAATAACCAACAACACAAAGACTTGTGGGCCAATCAGACAAAGTGGAACTTTTTGGAAGGTGTGTGCTCTATAGACATCATTCAATTCAATTCAATTCAATTCAAAAATACTTTATTAATCCCAGAGGGAAATTGATTGTTGTAGTGGCTCAGAATAATAACAATAATCAAGTCCTCAAAGAGTTGTTGTATATTACAATGGCTGTTGGCAGGAAGGATATCCAGTAGCGGTCAGTGTTGCAGCCAAACTGAAGAAGCCTCTGACTGAAGACACTCTTCCGTTGTCGGACAGTCTTGTGAAGAGAATGCTCAGGGTTGTCCATCATTTTCTTGATTCTCTGGAGAATCCTTCTTTGCATTATCTCCTCCAGCGGTTCCAAAACTGCCGAAACTCTGGCTGAGTCCTTGAAAGGGCTTGGAGTTCATCCATCTTGTTGGCCAGTGATCTCACATTGCCCGTTATGATCGATGGAAGAGATGCTTTGAATTTCCTCTCTCTCTGTCTCCGTTTTGCTCCCGCTCTGCACCCACGCTTCTTGCGTTTTAGCTCATTTGGGATTTGTGGCTTCAGTTGAGGTATTATTTTGGCCTTTCCAATGTTAATCAGCTGCTCCCGATTGTAAACCAGCTTGTTGCCATGGTTACGCATCATAACAAATGCTCAAAAAGTGAAAAAAGCTAAAAAATAGCAGTAAAAATCCTCCAAGCTTCACAGCACCCGAAACAGAAAGGTTAAATGTCCAAAAAATACAGTTTTTCTTGAGAAACTAGAAGAAAAAATGCTCAAGAAAAGGCAAAACTTACATATAGTCAACAGAGCTACTCCAACATGCAGCCACCCAGAGCAGCGCAGTTCCGGAAAAAAGCGCAGTTCCGGAAAAAAAAAACATATACGTAGACTCCCTGTGGACTGGCGTAGCAGTATGTTGCCACCTTGGATGGGTTCCCATCAACTCCCAGTACATTTATTTCAAGTATATCGTTGAACTACTAACCAGGAATGCCCAAGCACCAACGGCAACTGAGGAGAAGGGAACACATAAAAGGTCACGGTCTCGGTTTGGTTACCTGACACCTTTAGACGGAGGGGAATAGTCTGATGGGTGATGGTGGAGAGGTTCCGATTATCCAGAGAGGAGACTGAGAGAGGAGTGGGCAACGGGGTGGTTGGGATCCTCTATTTTTCAATCAGCTTAGAGTCCAACATGGATTGTTCGCAATCCGAGTCCAGGAGGACTTCGAGTTGGATCTGTTCGGAATTGAAAAACACAGAGCACGGGAGAGAACACCGAGAACTAGTAGAGTCTGAGTTGCTGCCCGCCAGTAATCCCGATTTTACCGGCGGGCTCTGCCTTTTAACAGTAACGAGCAGTCTCGGGCAAAATGTCCATCTTTACCACAGTACATGCATAAACCAAACCTCATATGATGTTGTCTCTCCTGTGTGAGACGAGTCCTCCCATCTGCATCGGTTCCTCAGCTGGTGAGGATTCTGTTGAGGAGTGACCACTAGTTCCTTGGCCCCGATCCTGAGTGGGAGGTGAACTGGGCCTGGGATCTTGTCTCCTCAGCTCGTGGTGTCGCTTGTCGATGGAGGTAGCCAGACTGATGAGGGCCTCCAATGAACCGGGCTCGGGGCATAGGGCCAGCTGGTTCTGGACCCGATCATTTAGAGCCTTGGTGAAGGCAGCAATAAGCGCTTCCTCTTTCCAGGACGTCCGAGCTGCCAGGATACGAAAATCCAATGCCATGTATGCCACTGTCCTCCTGCCTCGAGAAAGATTCCAGAGCTTCTTCCTAATATCCGAGCTGGACTCAAAACTTCCAAAAGTCAGTTTAAAATCAGATAAAAAATTCACTGTATGAACCATTCAACAGTGGCTCTTAGCCTCGGCCCACCTTAGAGCCTTTCCTCGTAGCAGCCCCACTACATGGGAAATCTTTACAGAGTCTGAGGCAAAGGAAACAGGAGAACGTTCGAAGGCCAGTCTACACTGGAGTAGAAAAGTGTGGCATTCCTCAAACTCACCTCTAAAAGTCACTGATGGTGGGGATGTTGCCAGACAGAAGTGGGCGACTTCCGGAGGACCTGCGGCTTCCGGTCCGGGGGAAACCGCAGCTGCTGGAGCGGCGACTTATGGTTCCGCGGGCAGAGGTGGCTGTTGACACTGAGACAAACCGTTGTGGATTTGTCTTACCAGAGCCTCCAATTGTTGGTAGCGTTGATTCGCTGTGGCGAGTAGGTCCATAAGTAGCGGTAGTGTCTGTTCCTGCTGTGTTAACCTGTGGGTGAGATCAGTGAGGGCTGCTTCTGCAGGGTTAGCGGTATGGCCGGATGATTCTGTCATGTTCTGAGGAAGGTGTCTAACCCAAGACATGCAGAATCAACCCAGGAGACGGTACAATGAAAATTAATATTGTTATTTGTGGATAACGGTAACTGAGGGCGCACTGGGAATTCCAGTGGACAGGGGAAACGGGAAATGCAGCGTCTGGAGGGGAGAGCAGATTAGAGGTGAGTCCTGAGAACTTTAAGTCCAACAGATAATGAGTGACGGGACTTACTGGGGTAAAATGAGTTCAGCGAGTGAGGGAATGGGTAACGAGCCGGGGGTATCTACCAGTCAGTGGCAATCATCTGATTAGCTGATCAGGTGCAGCTGCCGCTCCCTCTCCTGCAAGACACAACTCAGAGATCTCACGTAGAGAGACGAGTACTCACCCCCGGCTCATGACACTAGAAATAAACATTACTTACTTGCTAACTACAGAAGGAGCTTTTTCTGTGTTATAAAACACATTTTATTATGTTTTTCACAAAATCAGATATATAGTATTGCATGATAATCAGAATATAAATTCAATAAAATAAATTAAAATATGAAATCCCAACAAGTAGGCTAAAAAAGTCAATTATAATCCCACATGATTTGTTTTCAATAGTGTGCCAGTTGCAGCCTAAGACTCCAGTTGGGTTTGGAGAGCGAGGAGACCTAACCAAAATGGCTGTTACGCTCTCCAACACCCAATGGGATGTCTTCGTAGTCATTCTTATGGTGTGTTCCTTTAAATCTGGAGTAAAACTAGGGCTGCTCTGCTGCTTCGGGACATGGACCACTTCTTGCTGTAATTAATGCAACCATAATTTCTGCTCTCTAACAGCACATCCTGAAGGAAAATGTCTGACCTTTGACCTTAAACAGGCATTCTTGCTGGAAAATCGTCCATTATGGCCAAAAATAATTTTGTAACAAAGAGATGCACAAAATTCCTCAATAACAATGTGAGACTGACACTTAGTCACGTTATAGTATTCGCTGTAAAAATGGAAGATAATTATAGGTCCAATAATTATTTATTAACATTACTTAGTGCATTATTAAGCATTAATAAACTATTAAATAGCGTATTAATAACTGCTTAATCATATTATATAATGCATTATTAAGCAGCCCCCCCCCCCCCCCCGCCCTTTGTCCTAACCTAAAGGACCCTTGATGGTTAACAATAATAGTAGCATTTAAAAAACAGATCCTTTGTTTATTAACCCTCCCGAGGCAGGCGTCGCAGATTTTCAACCGTTAAAAACTAGCTACCAGATTACTCCACATACATGTATTGTGGGCTTTTTTTTACCCAGAAGTACCACTGAAGGACTTGGTTGTTGTTCCTGTTACTAAAACTTAAATTGAGCCAGAGAAGGTTAATGCTTAATAATGCACTAGCAGCATTAATAAAGGAGTAATTTTCGTAAAGTGTTACAGAATCATCTATTGAATGTCTGGGATTGTCTTTGTTTACTAATTCGTCTTTCTCCCCTCCATGCAGGAGATCGTCAGTTATAACTGTCGAGGACTTGTAGCCAACATGCCGCTCTTTGCCAACACTGACCCTCACTTTGTGACTGTGATCCTGACCAAGCTGCGCTTTGAGGTCTTCCAACCAGCCGATTTTGTAATACGAGAAGGAACGCTGGGTCGGAAAATGTATTTCATCCAGCACGGCACTGTCACTGTCATCCCACGAGGCAGTAAGGAGATTAGGCTCAGCGATGGAGCGTATTTTGGAGGTAAATACCTCAACGTGATTCCCTATGGAATCTATAAGAGGCTCACTTTAGTTTCCCTTGCTGATGCTCTTCTGTTATTAAAGTGAATATTAAAACTTCTTATTACTGCATTCTGCAGCCCATCCTCCCATAATGATTTATTTGCATTCCCATTGAATGATTTTTCTATTGAATTATGGCAAAATGCCTGTGTTCTTGCAGCAAGCAAAGCGATGCTCCCACCAATCAGCTGTTTTGCTTTGGTCAAACTGAATGCCTTGTTCTTGGTTCAGAGATCTGCCTGCTAACTCAGGGACGGAGAACTGCCAGCGTGAGGGCTGACACCTACTGTCGGCTGTATTCCCTAAGTGTGGATGATTTCAACGAGGTCCTGGAAGAGCACCCCCTGATGAGGAGGGCGTTTGAAAGCGTGGCCGTGGAACGACTGGACCGAGTTTCACGCAGACCCAGTTATCAGCCTCCATCTGCTGAATCGGACTGACTCCCCAAACAGAAAGAGGCCAGACTGAAATGTGGTGCACACCCATCACACCATGTTTTAATGTTTAATAATCACTGTTATCATGATGTGAACCAGCTGAAGACATCTATTTATTACCATGCTGCTGCAGCACGTTGGTTGAAACAAATTTGCACCTTCAGCTAACTAAATGTTACTTGAATCTCAATAAGCTAAATGCTAATTAAATCTTTAGTTGTTCTTGTTAAACTCACTGTAATTTACAAACTGAATGAACCTTTGACTAAGCTTTGTTCTCTCTTCCTGCACAAATTACATTTTAATCATATTTGCTATAAAACCATCAGATTCATATAGTTTGAAGTCATAAATGTGGCTTTAAGGAGCTGCAATACCACTTTGTGTCACACAGAAGCTTACTAGTGCACCAAGCTAAAACTTTCTGGATAGCATAACTGTAAAGTTTCATGGTTTAGGTCAAGTGGGAGGTGTGATCACAGTTGAACTTATTTTTATAAAGACATGTTTTACACAATCCATAACGGAAATGAACTTTCACTGATTAAATATTCTTAGGATTTACAGGGTAGAATTATAAATATGGAAATTTGTTCGTTACACTAACACTTGTTATTTTCAAGCCTGAACAAGTGCTAATTGGTTTTAATTTTAAATTTAAGAACAGATTTAGTCAAAAATAAGTAATTTTAACCCAGTTGCACTAACCTTTATTTTATTCAGATTAAATCATGTTCTTTTTCACAACTTGTACGAAACTCACAAAAGTACTTTATTTATCCAACAAATCTTGTTAGTTTTTTTTAACAGAAAATGCTTGCTTCCTTTCTGTTTAAATCAGACTTTAAAATAAAATGTGTCCTTACTGATTATGCAATGTAACTGTGAATATTTGAAGCAAAAACATAAAACACTATTTTTCCTATGTTGTCCAAAGTTGATTTTCTTATTTCACATTTAAACCACACATCATACACACACACACACACACACACACACACACACACACACACACACACATACACACACACACACACACACACACACACACACACACACACACACACACATATATATATATATATATATATATATATATATATATATATATATATATATATATATATATATATATATATAATGATGTTGATGTAGATAAACCTCCACCACACCGCGGCTCTGTTGACATTTGTATCCGGGCCAGGCGCGTTGGTTCCTGGGTAGCCGTGGTTCAGAAAGTCGTTACGCAAGGTAAGTCAGACCGGTTGTTTTCTGAGCAACATCAACGCCTTAATCGATATTTGTTGTCTGTTTTTGGCATGTGTTTTATTAATCAATCAGTCCGTTTTATATCACAGGTATGTTTTAGGTTGAAAAGCGAATGCGGCGCTTTTATTTCATTACAAGGTTAACCGCAACGCTAACCGGACTTAGCTGAAAGCTAGCTAAAGCTAACGTGGAGGTCAGTCCGAACTGGACTTAGTACAGCCAGCGTGCTGAAATATTCTGGGTTATTCTTACGTTGTGTGCAAAAACAATAACAAGTGGAGATTTAAATAACCATCATCTGAACGTGAACATTGTTAGACGTAGCCTTCACCTTCATTAGCTAACGCTTAGTTAGCTCTGACGTAACACATCAAAATAACCTCCGAATTAGTTTGAATTCAACTACAAAAATAACTTTATTTAGGATGTTTGCTATTAATAAACGTAACAATTATTTTGTATGTTTTCAAATGTAGAAATGACCAGATTCAGTGATGTAACCGATGATCAGGTTTCAGATCGGTGCTCTTATTTTGAAAGTCATGACTTGTTTTGTCTAACATGTAAGAATTTGTGTTGTTTTTACATTTTAATTTCTTTTTTTATCCTTTAAGCCACAATAACTATAAAACTATATAATTTCTTTATTTATTGCCCAGTTAGAGTTTATCGGGTGCTGTAGGAACAGTGTTTACATTAATTTATCCAATTAATTACACTTATTTTCTCCCATTATAATCAAAAAAAGTTTAAAGTTGTATTTTAGTCCATCTGTTACTTTTCTTACTACATTTATTAATGTAGATGTATGTTAAATTAAAATTGTGATACACAAAATACAGCAAAACCACATAAGTGAAAAATGTATGTTACCAAATAATGAGATTAATTATTTACAAATTTGCCAGGGCTTTGTTTCTATGTTTGTGTACAACAAATGTGTTTTACAATAGCTGATATAGCCGCAGTTTAACAATAAATGTATAGTAACATTGTTTTTGTTCCTGGAAGGATGTTGTCCTTGTCTCGATCAGTGCTGTGTGGGGTGGTACGCGCCCCAGCTGCTGTCTGCCAGGGCGGAGTGACTACCATCTCCAGGTTCAACAGCACAGCACAAGTAAGTTCCCAATTTAATGTCAAAACTGCAAAAAATACTTAAAATAAAGACACTGAAAAGATCATTTCTGTGGTTTGTGTTTTCAGAGTACTCCTAAGAAAACAAAATTTGGGCCACTGGCAGATGAGGACAGAATTTTCACAAATCTTTATGGCCGTCATGACTGGAGGTAACCTGGCCGATTCTACTCGTTCTTTATTTGTGAACAAACATATGTTTTGGATGTTCTTGGAGTGGCGATCAGAACATACTCATTTGGTCTTTGTTTTGCTTCAGGTTGAAAGGGGCACTGAGACGTGGCGACTGGTACAAAACCAAGGAGATTCTTTTGAAAGGGGTCGACTGGATTCTTAATGAGATCAAGGTTTCTGGTCTGCGTGGGAGAGGAGGAGCGGGTTTCCCCACTGGCATGAAGTGGAGTTTCATGAACAAGCCCAGCGATGGTCGGTCAGTGACGAGACTCTACTTTTCTTCTTTTAATCGTACTTTATGCAAAGAGGACTATAGAGCTACGGACGTCATGTGACTCTCAGAGAGTAGACGCCATGTTGGCAGGCAACAAACGTAAACAAAATGAACGGGATCGGCTTGGATTTTACTCCGTCGGAGTTTACTTCACACTTTAAAACCGAAGAAATCGTTTTATATAGTCAGTAATTAAATAGACTAAACATCTCCGACCCTTACCGTGCCCCTGGGATACTTTTTAAAAACGCCAGAAGCTGTCGGAGCGGACCTGGCCAGGGAGCGCCTTAAGATTTCCCCGGAGGAGCTGGCCCAAGTGGCTGGGTAGAGGGAAGTTTGGGCCTCTCGACTTAGGCTACTGCCCCCGCGACCCGACTCCGGATAAGCGGATGAAAATGGATGGATGGATGGACAAATAACAGATTTATATGTAATTAGTTTAAATAGAGTGCTGTGCTGTTTGAATGTATAAACTGAACGCCAAGAGAAATCACTAGTCTGATTTTTTTCCGTGAATAAAATAAAAATGTCAGGCAGGAGCGTCTCAGGATCTGTCTGAGATCTGTCTCGGTGAGACAGATAATAGCAATCCAAAGTGCTTTTTATGTGTCTGATCTGACAATTGATCAACCATTGCTTAAAATTAAATACAGCTTAGCCGGTTAATTGCTGTGATCATAAAATACTTAAACGGCAGCACGCAGAACTCACGAGGCAACGTTTTACGTGTTGTTTACTTGTTGCTATGAGTAATAAGACAGAAAAAGCCACGCCAAAATAAGTTTAGGAAGCCCACTAAGAATCGTAATAAAAGCATATAAAATAAACACCATACACAGTTGAGGAAACGTTGGTTTAAGTACCTGATATGAAGCGGTCGCTGCATAAGTGAAAACCTTTACTCTCTGGATCCCACAGCTTCATTTTAGCCCGGTCACTAGCGCGTTTTATTATAATGATCCAACGTTTGCGGCGTTCCGGATCTTAGGGAATCCTGTAGATGGCTCATTCCTTATGTCGTCCGCGTCTGTTCTGCATCCTGGGGCAAAACAGGAATCTACCATATTCCCTGTCTGATTGAGTTTTCTGAAAATAACAAATAGTCCAGCTGCGGGCTTCTGCCTGCCAAGATGGCGCCTTTTCGATTTGAACTGTTGCATGCCGGGAGAAGTGACGTCAACTCCCGGAGCTCAATTAAAGAAAACAATCAGCTGAATTGTTCAACTTAATTGTTTTCTCTTTTTTCAGTCCAAAGTATCTGGTTGTGAATGCAGACGAGGGAGAGCCAGGCACCTGTAAGGACAGGGAGATCATGCGACATGACCCACACAAGCTGGTGGAGGGCTGCCTGGTGGCTGGAAGGGCCATGGGGGCGCGTGCTGCTTATATCTATATCAGAGGAGAGTTCTACAACGAGTCCTCCAACCTGCAGGTGAATTAAGATTCAACATAAACTTGGTACTTTTGATTTTTTAGCAAAAATATTTAAAAATATCCCATCAGACTTTTTCTCTTGGATACATAAATGCACATGAAACAATAAGTGAACTTTTTCTGGAATAATATCTCAAGTTAAGAGTTGATAGTAAGTGTAACTGTGTGCTTCATTTGGTGTGATTAGAGCTTATTGCATTTTTCATCAATTTTAGTTAATCGGGACGTATCTGGTAAATTTGCAACAGAAAATTAAACGGTTATTTTTCCCTAGAACTGTTCTCGTGCAAAAAAAAATCATTAAACTTATTTTTGTTGTTTTTCTTTGAAAATTTTCTTAATAAAATGTATGTACTTTTCAAGATTTTGGTAAAACACAAAAAAGAAGCAGAAACTTTATAGATTTGGGGAGGGGGGAATAAAAAGAACCTGATCCTTGGTTTAAATGTCATTTATTTCTTTACTGTCTTCAGTGATTACTAATGAAAGTATTTCCTTTCTCTTAGGTGGCCATCCACGAGGCCTACGCTGCTGGCCTGATCGGCAAGAACGCCTGTGGCTCTGGTTATGATTTTGATGTTTTTGTGATGCGTGGCGCTGGAGCGTACATCTGTGGAGAGGAGACTGCTCTTATTGAGTCTCTGGAGGGAAAGCAAGGGAAACCCCGCCTGAAGCCTCCATTTCCTGCAGATGTTGGTGGGTTCGAGTGTGGAGTCATGACTTAAAATAAATGAAATATACGTATTAAAACAAGAGGCGCTGTGTACCGACAGGCAAGGCAGGCAATTCCTGGAGGCCTCCAGGCCACAAGGGGGCCCCTGAGGGCAGAAAAACCTTAAAAACAGAACTGCAACAGCAGAGACACAGTGGAAAACTTCTAGTTTTATTATGTTTTAATTAAACTCAACCACAGAAGATAACATTTTTGTTGTTTACTCAATGAACCAATGGCATGTTTTCATTAAAAGAATAACAGAATTTTCCACCAATGCTGTGTTTAAGGTGTATTCGGTTGCCCAACAACTGTTGCCAATGTGGAGACCGTATCAGTGGCACCCACCATCTGTCGCCGTGGAGGCACTTGGTTTGCAGGCTTTGGCAGAGAGAGAAACTCCGGAACGAAACTCTTCAACATCTCTGGCCACGTTAACACCCCCTGTACTGTAGAGGAGGAGATGTCCATCCCTCTGAAGGAGCTGGTGGAGAGGCACGCAGGTACTCCTCACACCTGGAATGAGTCACGTCAGCTTTTAGGGATTATAGTTCTACTGGGGCTTGTACTCGCATACTTGTCAGAACATGGATGTTTGTTGTGAATACTGTAATTAAGTGCAACGTAAAGGGTTGACCCAGATCCCATCTGCTGTGTTCTTCGGCATTAATAGGTTATGAACTCGGAGATTAAGATGGCTTAGCATGAGATCGAGTGCAGTATTTTTGATTTCTTTACTTAATTGAAACCAACATCTGTCTTGGTAGGCGGCGTGCGTGGCGGTTGGGATAACCTGCTGGCTGTGATCCCCGGAGGATCCTCAACTCCCCTCATCCCTAAGAATGTCTGCGAAGAGGTGCTGATGGACTTTGATGGCCTGATTCAAGCCCAGACTGGGCTCGGGACAGCTGCTCTTATTGTTATGGACAAATCTGTGAGTCGCACACCCCTGCAGTGTATTTCAGCCATTTGCAAACGTGTTGCATCGAGTGAATGGGTTGCTTTTGCAGACTGATGTTATCAAAGCCATCGCTCGTCTGTTGGAGTTCTACAAGCATGAGAGCTGTGGCCAGTGCACACCATGCAGAGAAGGTAAAGACGTTTTTGGTGGTATGACATGACTACTCTACTGGTGATTATATAGATATGCATTAAACTAACTGCAACTTATATTTTTATTCTGCTTATTTCTGCAGGAGTGGACTGGATGAATAAGATGATGTGGCGTTTTGTGCGTGGCGACGCTCGACCATCAGAGATTGACATGATTTGGGAGATCAGTAAGCAGGTTGAGGGTCACACGATCTGCGCTCTGGGTGATGGTGCAGCATGGCCCGTGCAGGTCAGTGTATTTTCATTGTAAAGAGAACATTTAAAGATCAATTTATTTGAGATATGTACTGCTAAACTATTGTTTTTGGTCGTTTCAAAATAAATGTTATACTTTTAGATATGTCTTTTTTGCATTAACAATCTTATCTCTTGTCGTTTGATACATTTACCACTAGATGTCACTACACCCTACTTACTGTATTTCACATTGTCTTTTTTAATTATTCTCTTTCTTCTGCCTTGTCCCCCAGTATTCAAAAATCTTTATATTATGATTAAATACTTTATTAAATGAGGTATAAATAGTTTATTTTCTTTGTTCTTAGGGATTGATCAGACACTTCAGACCTGTGATGGAAAGCCGGATTGCTGAACACAAGCAAAAGCAACAGGCCATGGCTTAGATGGTTCATTCAGCTGAACTATTCCATCCTCTTCTACCCTTAAAGTTGAGCTTTTGTTCTTCAAAAATATTTAAACGAATCAGTATGTCCTGTATAGTCTCAAGCTTTACGAGATGTCTACACGCTGTTGAATAAAAGTATCAATAAATACAGAAAATCCCAAACTCGTGTTGTTTTCCTTTGCAGTATTTCTGTCCATTCATTTTTTTGTTATTTTAAAAAGTGGATACGTTAATAGGTAAAAGATTTCAATAGTTTTGTCATAAATATTTGCTATTGCTTGCCTTTTTACTGTCAGGAAGGTTATGAAAATAATTCTGACAAATACTGTGAATTACAGATTTCCAGAAAAAAATTTGTTGTGAAAAATACTTTTACATGTGTTACACAGAAACTCATTATTTCAACCTTTAATTTGTTGTACAGTGTCACGTTGTTAATAGTAAATGAAGCAAGTAGTTTGAATACCTGTCGTATGGAAAAGACTGAGCATTCCTTTACCAAAAGGTAACAAGAACAGTCATGTTAGTGTTTCTCTCATTTTGGGGTCCCTTACTTTTTTATTTCATTTTATCATAATTTTTAAATCTTTAGAAATGTTTTTGTGCTTGTGAAGCATCTTGAAATTTTTTATCTTAAAGGGCAAAAAGCCTTCGGTATGTGCACTAATCCCCCTGGGAAGTATAGTTTTGGTCATTTTTTTTGTTGGCTGTCCTTTATTTTTAATATTAGGTAGCTGCTTCCTTCATTTTAGAAGATTTCATTGAATTAGTCATTTACCTGGGCAAAGTTGTTTGTTTAAAAAATGGTTAATAAAGATTTCAGGAAAAAAATCCGGTGTAATCTCGCGATATTATTGGATATTCTGTGTCACGTGAGGCGGGCTAAACCATTATCGGCTTCATTTCGATGGATGCTGCGAACGGTACTTTATATTCCATTATTTTTACTGTTTATTTACTCTCCTATATGTACAGATGCCCGAAATTAAACAGAAAATTTTACATGGACGTTTTTTCAGGTATTTATATAACTCAAAGATTAGCTAATGGTCGTGGGAATTATAATACTTGAATAATAGCGTTATAATTGTTTCGCTTCAGGTAGTTGTTCCTCCCGTTGCTTCGTCCCTCTGTCAGCCGGTTTAGGCCTGATGTTTGCAGCTTTTTATTATGTATTGCACTCATAGACGCTTGTAGCTAAACTCCTAATTTTGTATTTAAACAATATCCGAATATGTCGATGCTTCTGGACACAGTTAGCTAAAATAGCATCTTTGTCATGTTGCTATAATTAATAAACACTCCGCTAATGTCCGACATATCTGCATGTTTACAACAGAACTGTGCTTGTGTCGCAGCTGAATGTGGATTGACTACGCGGAAACATCAGCATGGAAATGGGGAAGATAGAGCAAGTTATTGTTGGAGGTGAAATAAACTCCTCTGCAGAGATCAAGTCTGAGCCTGTGGTTGCCCCCATGCCCGCCCGTAAGTTCTCATCCATTAATACCCTAACTGAGAACCTAACTCCACGTTTTAGCCACACAGCCTTGATTCTAACTTTTAATCTCACTGCTGTTCAGATCCAAGTGAGAGCCTGCAGTGTTTTCAGTGTTTCATCACCTTCAGTAATCATAAAGCCAAAGAAAGACACGTGAGGAAGGATCATCCGCAGCAATTCACACGATATCTGCAGAAGGTACAACGTGGTTATTCCTTCATGTACATGCCATTTTTTTATATTGAGGTATTATTTTTAATTAAACTGAAAAATGTTATACATTAAACTAATGTTGCCCAATTCAATTGCTTTATTTTGCAGATTAATACACTGTTTACTTGCTACAAGTGTAATAAAAGTTTTCTCACCCCTGAGGAGCTCACCCAGCACCAAATTACACATTATGCTGACAAAAATCCTTTCATCTGCTCTGACTGCAAGAAAAGGTTTAGCGGCTTTTCTGAGGTAAAGATACAAAAGGTTGTTTTCTGTTCAGCAAATGATGAGTATTATTTGTCGGTAATAATATGTATTCATTATTTTACAGCTAAATAAACACAAACGATTTGAGTGTGGGAAGCGACCATTTTCCTGCAAGGACTGCGGCGCTTTGTTTCCTAGTGCCTTTCGACTTCGCAACCACCGCACCGCTGTGCATCCCCTTCTCCCAGGGACTCCTGAAGACATCAGCACCTTTCTGTGCTGTAAATGTGGATGTAATTTTAAGACTGAACGTGAACTCCTCCAGCATCAGGAGACATTTGCTAATTACCAGAAATGTGGTAAGAATCTCCAGGGCAAAAAGCGTGGCCGTAAACCCAAGTGCGTTGCACAGGAGAAGGAGGAGGTCGTTAAAAAAATCAAGCAAGAAGAGGAAGAACAGGAATGTGATGAGTTCTCAGCTGAGCTCAAAATCCCCTGTTCTAAACCAGACTGTGATTGCGTATTTCCCACTGTTGCAGCCCTGCGAGCGCACAAAAAAGAAAAACATGGCTCTCCATCTCTCAAAGCTTCCTGCACTGAAGACGGCTCCTCCAAGAGCTTTGCAAAAGAACATGATCTAAGATTTCACCAGTCTCTCCACACGGAGGTTGAGGATGCTGACGAGATAATATAAAGGGTCATTTGTCTGTTATGGTTTCTTATTCAAAACTCTCCTCAGAACTAAATGCAACTCCTAACTTTGTATTGTTATTTAAAACTACAAAGCCCCTTTTAGCTGTGCATATGATATATAAACTACATGAAATGTTTTAGGTTGATTGTAAATTAGCAGATAATCTCTTTTTGATGTAAGAATGTTTTATATTTCCTTTAAGTGTTTTATTCTCAACAACATATTTAAATGTAATCCTCATACAAAGAATGAATTTCTAAACATAATAAAATGTGTTAAACTACTCTGTGGATGGATCAAGCACCATGATGTGCTGATGATTTCTCTCCTTTAAAATTAAAATGTGTTCTCTCAAAAGTCAAAGAAGGGGAATATTCTCCAAAATAGAGAAAACTATAGATTCATACTGAATAGATGGTTACAAAGAGAACTAGTTTTGGAAGAAATCAAACTAAAATAAAATGTGTGAACCCAGTATCACCCTTGCACATTTTACAATATTCAAATTTAAACAATAAAATCAGTTCAACTATTTGGAAGCACATAGGTTGAAAGAAGACTTAATTATCAAATAGAAATGTGCTTCTTAATTAAAAAAACGTTCTTACAGAGATTTACTGAAACATTCCTCTTATGTATTTTATGTTTGTATTTTTATTATTTTGCTGTTCATTAAAGCATTAGGCTGTTCTTTATCAATGGAAATCTGAGGCAGGCAGATGTTTGCTTTTAATAGAAATGTGTCTGATGATGCATAAAATGTCTTTTATGTGCACTCACCTGAACTAAAGGTGAAAGTGTCAGTTTAAGTAACATCAAAACTACCATTGAAGAATAGTGAGAATTTTTATTTTTGTATCTGGTGTATCTATCGTTTTAGTATATTTTAGGGTTTCAGTTTTATTATTTATATCACATCTTTTAAGATTTTTATTTTTTTACCTTATTTTATTGTGCTTTTGAAGTGCTTTGTGATTTGTGATATGACAACACAAAATATAAAAATACTTTAACAATAATATAGGTTTATATAGCTTTATTTTGTCTTCTTGCTTTTTTTAAAGTTTATTTTTCTTTGTAAAATGATACATTTTCGGGGAAAAAATAACAGTAAAAGGCTAAATTAAAAGGAACTGTTCCCATTTTATCGTGCACAGCACTACATGCTTTTTCCCATGATGCACCTGTACTTCTTCCTATCTCGCGCCTTTGCCTCGGAGCAGACCATCTTGCCTCGCGCATCGCTGCAGTGATCTTCTGCCCGCGCGCCGTCCGTCTTGTAGTAAATAATGGCGGCCTCGGGAGGTGGATTTACTTCGCTTTCTACCGCAGCGGGTCTCGGCACTCACGCACTACCGGCCCGGGCTCGCTTCCCGGGCCGTCCGTGCGTTACTCGCAGCAAGCTGCGCTCGGAGAAACGGACCAGACGAGGAAGATTGGTCTCGGCCGACGGCGAGCTGGCTGATGGAGGGCCGAGGCCCGTCAACATCGGCCTTGCGTTAAGCGAGGATCCGTCTCTGCTACGCCTGCTCGGGCTGACGGAGAAACACAGTCGGCAGAAAGATGCAGGGTTTGATTCCAGTAACAGTGAAGGGGTGAGTCATGTAGCTGGAAAACGTGACGAATGAACAAGTTTTTGTTGTAGATTAATTAAATAACCGCCGTATTTGAGTTAGTTATGAAGAACAGTTTAGCTAATCTGCTAATTAGCTACAAACCCATACACGGGCATTGTTTGTTTGGCTGCAGAAAAAGCCTCAGATAGTAATCGTGCGATTATTTCTGCACATATCGAGCCTACACCTCATATTCTGCCGTGCATGATCTAAATCGGTGCAGCTGAACGGCAAATATCGGTCCAGTTGAGGGTTTGCAGGAAAAGCTCACAAGGCGGAAACTTTGGCGGTAGTATTGCCCCGGTGAATGGGGGTTTGTTTTGGAAACCATGCTTTGTTCAACTCCTGATGAGCTTTGGTAACGTTCAAGGTGCCATTCGGTACCAATAACCCCGAGCTACTCATATTGTTATGGTTAAAACGTCGCTGCTACGAAATGTTGGATCATACACTCCACGTTGGAGCTGCTCTGTCAGCTGACTGCTCGGTGCTTTTAACGTCAGTTGAACGTAAGAAGCAACAGGAGGGAATAAAACAACCGCTGTAACAAAACAACCTACACATGCATCACAATAGGCATAAGAATGGTTAGATTTGCATAGGGTGCATCTCAAATCTAATTAAGGTTAAAATCATGTAAGATAAGTTTACCCAGTTAATTGTTTACCAGCAGCAGGACTTTTGCCAGGCAAATTCCCATCACATGGCAACAAGTTTTACTATTAACTGGGGCATTTATATCAGTTTTATTTTTCCATTCTCTTGGTTTTGTCAGTGCGTTGCAGGATTTACTCAGAATTTTGTATAAAATAACTTTCAAAGTGCAATGTCTTGTATCCATTTGTATACCTGCAGCCAGTTTGGATGGTGACAGCGATTAAATGCCATTTTGGATTGAATTTAAAAAGGAGGGGGGCTTTAATGTCTGACATCAGTCGGATTTCACTGATGCAATCTCTTTAGAAGGAACTGTAACAGTCACATGGCTCACACTAAAGCTGGTGGATGCTGCTCAATTGGAGAGAAACATTTCACACAAGTGTTCTTTAGCAAAGGGGGCAATGTGTTATTCAATGGCTTTTCCAGGGGACTGGTCTTTAAGATGGATGTGAGTAATTTAAACTGAGATGTGCTTTCAGATTATTTTATTTGAATAACCCTCCAATCAAAAATAATTAGATTAATCATGTTTTAAGTTTTGTTTTTGCTTATTGCCTGCAGACAAGGTAATCCAACATAGGAGTTCAGTGAGCGCACAAAAATGATGCAAAGGGAGAGAAGGACTCGATTTTGTCGTTGAGTCACAGATAGAAGATGAAGGACTTTACCTTTGCTGTGTCAGAACGGAACTGATGCAACGGCGATGTAAGTGTGGAAAGCAGCGCTGCTGATGCTGAACCAGTGTTTCTGCTGGGTAAATAACAGATAGATCATTAAGCAGCAGTGACTCATGTGTAGTTGTTACGATGGCAAGAAGACACTATGTTAAATATGTTCTGTAAACTCTTGTCATAAAGGTTTGTTACATAATCAGTTGCATGAGACTAAGCAACTTTAGCTGTTATTTTAACATAGCTGTAAGCCTTTGTTAGCGGTCGCTAAGAGTTTTCATATTGGTTTAAATTAAAATATCAATTATGGGAAAAAATAAAGTGATTCTTTACATTATTGTTGCAAATTTGCACACCTTGAGTGTTTCGTCCTTGCTCTTTAGCCAATATTAGGGCTGGGCGATACGGACCAAAACTTATATCTCTATCTCTTAGCTGAATTACGATATACGATTAGGGTTGTCACGGTATGAAAATTTAACCTCACGGTTATTGTGACCAAAATTATCACGGTTTTCGGTATTATCGCGGTATTTTTTAAACGGTGTTGCATATGTTCAGAAAGCATTGATAGTCCTGTTCTACACAAACTGAAATAGTTTTGAAAAGGTTTAACAGTGTTTATTAAACCTAAAATAACACAAAGCCTTAGCAAAAGTGCAACTTTTCACTAGTAAAGGAACAAATAGCTTATTTTTCTGGAACATGTTACAGTAGTCAGTGCAGGTTTAAATGATACAAATCCAAACATTCAAAACATAAACAATATGTAAACAAATCAAAGAAACACCACTTGTTTTCTCATATACTTGTTTTCTTCATTATCAAAATGAAAATCTAAAACTCCAGTCCACACTTGACTTGAGCACTGTACAAGTCAACCTTAAAAAAAATATGTATTTAAAACAAATAGCCACTTTAAACAAATTACTAAAATAACTACTACACTATGTAATCAAATCCAAATGTTCAAGTATAAATGGCATTGAATAAGTAAACAAATCAATGACAAGGAACTAATTGTATATTTCTCTTCATCATCAACAAATAAGATGCTTCATCCAGCAACAGGGTGTCCGTGACACGGTTTAAATGCTGGCAGAGGACGCTGCGGCTGCAGTATATAGTGACTCGTTGCATTCTCCCTCAACCAGAAGTCCTCACGTCATGCATTTAAGCTAAAATGCTAATGTTAACTTACCTTGCACTGGCTGTAGAGACGCGGATGATGGTCACGCAGATGTGCCATTAGATTCGAAGTGTTGCTGCCTTTTGCAGACACTTGTTTCCTGCACGTTCTGCAAACGGGATAGCCGTCTTCTATTAACTGTCCCTCAGCGTTTTTCAGAAATCCAAAATATGCCCATACTTCCGATTTAGTCTTCTTTGAGGGCTGTTGGATGTCCTGGGCGCTGCCGTCTCCTCCTTCGGCCATTATTTCAGCTTCAAAGTTTTGGTGCCGTTGCAAATTAAAAAGTGCGTGTGCGCGCCGCGGGAACTTCAGCTGAAGCGACGGTGGCTGGTAAGGGTCATCGCGCCGAAACCGCGGCCACGGTAAACCCACCGAGATAATTTAGTTTTTTAAAAACTGGACGGTTATTTTTATTGTCAACTTTTTTACCGGGGTTTACCGCTATACCGGTTACCGTGACAACCCTATATACGATATACATCTCAATATTTTTCCTCCTGTAAAATATTTACAAGTTAACTCACTTCAAGCTGTCTTGAAAAATTATACGTAAATCAGTAGATTAAATGCATAAAATTGTATTGATTCTTGTCAAACTTTAACCTTAGTGCCTATTCTCTACCAGTCAGAGCTTAGACACACTGGTGCAGGTGTCTGTTAACACACACACACACACACACACACACACACACACACACACACACACACACACACACACACACACACACACACACACACACACACACACACACACACACACACACACAGAGTTGAGAGCTAGAGGTGTATCAAATGTCCCACAGGCACTTTTTAATTATATATTTATAATTAATGTAAAATTATTTTAACTTAATCTAAAGGTGGCCCTTATCGTTTATTTCTTGTCCAGAGAAAAAAAATCTATCATGTTAAACTAAATGTTTGATGATGTAATCTAGGGCTGAAACGATTCCTCGAGTACCTCGAATAATTCGAGTACAGAAAATCCTCGAGTCAAATTCTCTGCCTCGAGGATTCGTTTAATTCATATTTAATTAATTCGTGGCTTTGCAGTCGCCCGTGGTCATGTTTCACCCGGACTGAAATAAGTGACGCACATGCCCACTGGACTGCACACGCGAGTAGCGAATGTAACTTAACTTTCTCTTAAGCCTTATGGCGGACAACGTGGACCCCGGTGGAGTGCGAAAAAGACAGAAAATGTCAAAGGTGTGGGACCATTTTTCACGTCGTAAGGCGGAAAACGCAGTCCAGTATAAATACTGTAAAATGGATTAAGCCTACCACAACACCACATCCTCCGTGCTGCAGCACCTGTAAATGTCTCTTCTGCAAGCGGACTCGGAGCCTCTACAAGATAATGCTTTTTAGCCTGTTTTTCTATATATTCTGCGGACACTGTGCGACTTTTTCATTTGTAGCACTCAGTTTCAGCTCACACCGTACGTCTGGTAGCAACACGTTGGACTTAAAATGTGCTAAAAAATAGCATTTTTACACAAAACGTCGGACTTTTTATTGTGTTATTGATGTTTGTTGTCCTTCGGGATTGCTGCAGGAGGACATGGGTATTTATGAGAGGAAAACGAAAGAAAGTAAATAAATGTTTTGTGATCAGTATAATTTGACAAAACCACGGCAAACATGCTTTCTCGACAATCCTTGTTATTGTGTGAGAAAAAAGTGTTGAAATTAAAACGGACGTGTGTTAACAGGGAACAGCCGGCGAGCTGTTTGCGCATGCACTGTGAGCGGTTCTGGTTCTGTTTGGGCCGCAGCCGCTCGCAGCGCTACTTCAACAGTTATCCTCCTAGCTTTTGTCTGGCTTGCAGGCTAGCAGATTCTCGCACGAGGGGAAAATCGGCTCAGGTTGTGTACTTATTTTTTGCACAGCCATTTGTTTACTGTGAAGTAAAGTTGAAGTGCTGAAGTTTTGCAAACTAATTTTGAATAAAACTTGAAGAATAACTGGCAATTGCTTGCTCATTTTAACAGGTCTTTCATAATTATAACATGCTATTTGATATAATGGTTTACAAATACAAAAGGGTTATTTATTAGAGTACTCGATTAATCGAAAAAAATATTCGATAGAGTACTCGATTACAAAAATATTCGATAGCTGCAGCCCTAATGTAATCGCATCTACTGAAGATCACATGGGTCATGCACCGTGGAGTTATTAGTAATCGTGGCAAACATCAATTCAAAGATACTTTATTAATCCTAGAGGGAAATTAGAGTACACACAATTCAGAGATCAGACATACATGGGCAAGACACATGACAAGAATTGGTGACTGTGGTCATTCGCAACCATGAGTCGCTCTACCTTAATAGAGATCAGAGGATTTGCATGATGATTGGTTCAGGTGGAGGAAAAAAGGCACTTCAGAGTTACCCTCCATCAGGAGGGCATCTTTGCTCTGCAAAAAACACCTCAGAGATGCAACAGACTTCAAACATTACACAACATAAGTGTCCACTAGGTGGGGTGGTGGGTTTGGGACTATCCACACTTCAGTTCCTGCAGCCATAAAAGCAGCACTCATCACTTCAGTCTGAACGGGGGGGTCGTTGAGGATTGGAGTGTGCAGTGACTCCTGGAACGATTCTTCGGCCTTCACAGTCCGAAGTCCCGCCCAGGCTGGGATAGGAGACAGAATTGCCATAGCGACGACATTCCCCATTTCTTCTGAGGGGGGAGTATTCGTTGCAGCCTTACAGGCTCAAGGGCACCAGATTCAGATTAGAAATTGTTTTGGGGCCTGACAGAGATAATTTCCTCTCTGACTTAGAGTTCCTTGGTCCTCAGCCTCTCTCAAAATCCCAATAATGGCGTACATTAATCTATCCCAATCCGTGCTAATTCGTCCACTTTCTCCTTGATGGCATCCATCTTTTGTGCCAAAGCATGAATCTCGGCCAAAGTTCCAAGCTTACGATTCATCTCGACAGTTATGCGAGTCTGTGAATTCACAGAGCGGTGCAAACCATCTCTGAGCTCTGGGAGCAAGCCAATATTCCTCGACAGCTCGTTAATTTTCCGGTAAGCCAGGAAGCCTCGTAGGCCAATGAGCAGGAAACCTGACACCAACACCACACATATCCACACGTCTTCAGAATCCTCTACAGACAGCTGAGATAAACAGATCAAGTTCCACTGTTTCCAGGAGTCCATGATGTGTTCAACTGGGTCTGTCTCAGAGGGGCATCTGGGAGCCCCTTCTCCCGTTCTCGTCATTGAAAAAGTTTTATCAATCGTGTTGAGTGACCAACTGACCAGGTCCATTTTAGTAATTTCAGTTTCCAGAAAAAATGCAGAAGCAGCCGTGCACCAGCACAGAGACAGACAAAGAGCCTTGAGGATAAGGAGGAGACGAGGAAAAAAAGCATCTGCACTCCCCAAGAGCCGGAAGAAGGAATCATGGCTGGAATCTAACAGTATTGGCTCATATCAGCGATTATACTGTAATGACTCAGAGTCTCTGGTTGTTCTTTTATGAGGATTATTTTCATGCTACTGTCGCCGTAACCCACGCCTTACAAACTCTTAATTTTTTTTATCAGAATCGCTCGTAACAGAGTATTTACTAGGATAGCAAACCGGAACGACATTTCTCACCCGTTGAGCTTGCCTTCAAAATAAAACAGTAACCTTATAGTTTACTATTCAAACCCTTACAATATGTTTGAGGTAATTTGGCCACTCCGGTTTTCCATAGATGTTTCCTCATTACACAGGAAGGGAGGGGTTTGACTCGTCTCCGCACAAATAGGATTGAAAACAGAACTCCATTGGCGTTAAACATCCCCAAATAATTAAAAACCAGGACGCCAAATGTAAAGTTTAGAGCAGCACATTTACCCAGAGGCTCTCAGATTGAGCAAACTTGTAAGAATACATGTAATAGCCGCTTAGAGACGGAGAGATGGAGCAGCATGTCGCTAGCATAGCAGCTAATCGTTATCATAGCAGTTTGAGTAGTTATATTGATACAAAGATATAAAGTCATCTTATATCTTGTTTAGTAAGTAAGGAAGTAAGTAAATTTTATTTATATAGCACTTATCACAGACATAGAATCACAAAGTGCTTCACATAGATCAAAACAAAATAAAACAAAGTCATAAAATCATAAATAGATTAAAATCATAAAATCAAAATGTTCTCAAAACAGAATTTGATTAACATCAACATAATCAAGAGCAACGTCTTCCTGCGGTGTCTGTGAGGGCGCATAGGGTTGGTTAGCATTCCTCCCATAGAAATGCATATAAACACGTGTTTATATACATATCTATGGTTTCTCCTATGTCCGTCACAGCAGTGGGTGGGGTTTGAGCGGGTGAGTTTGACCGACTTCCGGAGAGGTTTGTTAAGATGAACGGCTCTCTGCAGGGACTTGGCTCTCATAATTCACTTAAAAGATTCGATTCGTTCATGAACGTCACATCACTACAAGTTTTAGACTAATCAGGGGAACCATGCTCTCAGGGGCAATGATCAGACATTCAGTCTTATCAGAGTTTAACTGAAGGAAGTTATCTTCTAGCCAGCTAGTGATAGCTGATAGACACTCTAGTAATTCAGACAGTTTATAGAACTCAGAATCCTTAAAGGAGCAGTACAGCTGAATATCATCTGCAGAGGGTATATGTACAGCAGAAACAGGAGTGGACCCAAAACAGAGCCTTGGGGTACCCCACAGAACAGATCAGTAGAATCTGACATGATTTGGTTTATACAGACACTGTAACTTCTGTTAGAAAGGTATGATCTAAACCAGTCTAGGACAGTTCCAGAGATCCCCACCGAGTCACCAAGTCTGTTAATTAAGTTGCTGTGATCAACAGTGTCAAAAGCTGCAGAAAGATCTAATAATACTAACACTGTGAACTCCCCGTTGTCTGCAGCCAAAATTATACCGATATTTTAAAAATATCGATATATCGCCCAGCCCTAGCCAATATGTTTTTGCCTTTAGAGTTTCTAGAGCTTATCTGTTCTTATTTGAATATAACCAGATATTTAAAAAAAACAGAAATGAAGATTACATTTTTGTTGTTTTCCAGGAGGAAGATTTCACTGGATTTGGAACAACAAAAGCTGGTCAACAGAAAAGTACAGTTGTGGTTTTGCAGCCATCCCTCAGGCAAGCCAAGGCTCCTCGAGCTTCAGAAAAGCCGTCAGGAAACAAGCCTCTTGTTGGAAAAATAATTCCCAAGACCCCAAAATCATCTCTCATTGGGAAAATTGTGCCAAGGATCCCCAAGGAAGGACAGGATGTAAAAGAGAGCCCAGTTAAAGACAAAGAAACCCCACAAGTGTCAGTCAAAGTTCAGGGGAAGCAGGAGGCTCCTGATGCAAAAATCAAAAATGCAAACAAACAGACTTCAGGTGAACAAAGCCGTATAAAATCAGCTGATGCTGTAGGCAAAGCAGGTGGAGCTGCTGGCCTCACCAAACACCAAGAAGGAGTGGTGAGCTCTCTCAGATCAGAGAAAAATGCCAAACAGGCCAACAGAAGCAATGAAGGCGAGGTGTTTGAGGAGTTGGATCAATCTCTGACAAAAGGATCTCTGAACATTAAAGGTGGCTTTCTAATGAGACACCCCAGGCGTTCCTCTGAAGGAGTCGCCCTGACATTTGCGTCCCTTCATAAACGTCGTTGGAGGAGAAGGACAGCTCAGGTGACAGGTGTTACTCCAAAAGCTGAGGTGGAAGCTGGTCCTCGGAGTGGACAAGAGGCAGTGATGCAGCTTGAGTGTAAAACTGTAGAGTCATCTGTAAAGAAAGTCCATAAGAAACGCAAAGTTTTGCTTGGGTACAAACGAAAACCGCAAACAAGCATTCCAGGTAATAGTAGTCCAAAAATCAAAAAGGTGCGCTCTCGACGGGTGTTTTACGCCTATGTACCAGAGCCGCTTCCGTCTGTGGGCGGCGACCATCTGCAGATTCAAGGTCAGAGTGCCGCCCCGGCAGGGGAGGAGGCAAGATCAAGTTTAGAACAGATAGATCAGAGCTCCAACAATTCATCCACAGCTGTAACAAGTGGACGGTCTTCCCGCGTTATTAAAACTCCCAAAAGATTCCTGGATGAGGAAATCGTCCCCTTTCCAAAGGGCTCTTTATCAACATGGCTGAAAAGTCAGCAAAAAGACGAATTTGATGGTAACTCACACCCGTTGGACAGCGACTCCACACCTGTGTTTGACGGCACCTCTGGTGTCTCCAAAATCCCGGGTAGATCCAGCCCCGGAGCGAGCCACATAGAGATCTACAAGAACTTAAAGAAGCTGACTCTAAAGCTGGCGGAGAAGAAGAAGGGCCAGGCTAACGTTCAGGAGGATTACCCACACGATGGAGACCGCGTAACATCTCCTGCCAGGAAGAGACGAAGGCCGAAGATCATGATGGAGGAGCTGGACTCTCCTGGAGTGGTGAGGAAAGTGGCTGTGGTGGTGGAGGCAGAAGGGGAATCTCTCAAGCAGATCCCATCAGAAGATACGGGCAAAGAGGGTAAGGATGAATGACCGTTTTGGTGATTTGTTTATTTTATTTAGAAAGCTAGTTCTGCTTTACATTAAATCAGAACAAGACTAGGAAATATCCACAGATGTCAAAAATTGCCGCACTGTTACAAGGTTGTATAAAAATTAAGGCTGCACGATATTAGGAAAACCTGCGATATTCGATAACAGTGCTTAATATTGCGATATCGATATTACTCGCGATAAATGAACAAATACTAAAGTATGCAGTGTTGATGTCATCTGGCATGTGACGTCTGCTCTGGGTTCAAAGCAAACAAAAACTAATGCATGAATTCCATTACAACATAACATTTTTATTGCAAACATATGCAGCTGCACCTGCTACTGTATTAGCAGCAAAACAACAAACTGCATGCATGCAGTTTCTCAGTGACTTTAAAACATCACCACCACCATAAAACTTTTTCTGATGCTCCAAATACAGAAAAACATCCCTTACCAGGGTTTTTGAATAAATAAAAAAAATCAGAAAATAAGTTTAAATGTTAAATAATAGTTAACATCACTTAAATGCAACAACAAATTATCTCATTGCTACTGAACATTTTCTCCACTTATGTGGTTATGATATAAGGCTGTTGCTGCTATTGGGAAGTGAACTGTGCTGGGCCAAACTAGGAGAATATTAAGATTTTCTGAGGAAAAGAGAAAAACAATTGTCTACCCTTCAGAAGAGGAAACGGAAAAAAAAAACTACATGGAAAATATGTGAAAACGTTTGTTTTTAACCCCAAATTGAACAAGTTTACCTAGATCTTAAAAAGCAGCTCAGTTGATGAAACTGCAACTATGATTCTGATAACAAGCTAACAAATTGAACTAGCTCCTCTTAAGATAACCGGCTAGCAGAGCTTCTGACTGACAGTTTATGTGCAGCAGCAAATCAACTATCCTGATTAACAAGGTTATAAAAGCTCATAAAGGAAAAATCACTTTGATGTGAGGGGGAACTTTTCCAGGCCCTCTTTAGCAGGGTGGGACTGGGAGGAGAGTGCTGTAGCCTTTTAGCTGGAAGCTAACTGGAGCCTGGGGCTAACACTAGCGACATGAAGGTGGGTTGGTTCACCAGCACATGTCTAAGTCAGCCCGGTAAAAATGATTCACGACACAGAGCGGAGTCACGTTCACGTTTGAAAGCAGCACTGAATCCAGAAACCTCAGCACAAAGTGCGTTCGTTGCTCTGAGCCAGCATGACGAACAAGGGAACGGCGCCGCAAACTCTGTTCAGGTGTTGCTTTCCAAAAGGGTCTATGAAGGGGGCGGGCGTATTACGTGAACGGAACCATCTGATTGGCCGCATATCAGAAGGACTACATTTGATTGGTCAAATAATACTTCCGCGTAAAAAACAGAGCTGGTTTACAAAAAGCTGATGTATGACACGGATGGAAATGTTCGAACCAAACATTTATCGCTGTTTTTGCCGTGTTTTGCGATGGGCCTATCGCACGTCCTGTTATCGCGATGACGATAATTTTTCGATATATTGTGCAGCCCTAATAAAAATCAAACTGAAAAGTAACTTTTGTGCTGTTTGATCCAGCTGAAGCAGCGAGTGTGAGGGAGGACAGCAGTGAGATGTTGGAAACAGCCGGTCCCAGCCACCGGATTGGTCTCAGCGGAGCTAATAAGAGGATGCTCCACCTGCTGAAGAAAGCTAAAGTCCAGCTAATCAAGATTGATCAGCAGAAGCAGCTGAAGCTGTCGCAGGTATAAAAATAAATAAATAAATAAAATATTAATAGAAGGTGGTTGCATTTAATGTTTAAAAGCATGTTTTTCTGCCTTGTTTGTACCAAAAGTTGAGCTCAAAAGAATCACAAGTACCAGTGAGTGGAAAGAGGAGAAGGCGGAGGAGGAGAGTTGGTCTGTCTTCCAAAGAAATTCCTGCACAGGTCATTTTTATTTATGTATTTTTTTATTCATACATGTCGTAGCAATGTCTTATTTATTACATCTTTTTTTACAAATGTATGTCCTAGCAGAAATTTGTTGCCTGTGTGCAGGAGCAGCCTCTCAGAGGTCCGAGGATCAAACATGTGTGTCGGGCGGCAGCGGTAGCTTTAGGGCAGCCTCGTGCCATGGTGCCGGATGATATTCCCAGGCTCAGCGCTCTGCCGCTTCACGAGAGGGAGGGCATCACCTTTTCCCCCACAGCCGAAGGTACCGTCCATTCCACAGGCTTTTTCCTTTTTATTTTTGTTAAGATGAAAGTTCAAGTATAATTTTATTATGACTTGCATCACACGCCATTTTCACTGATGTTTTTAATAAACAAAGAATTAGCATTTTGAAGTTTTGACTCAATTCAAAACAAAAATATTCTAAACTCACCAAGGACTTCTTTCACTATGCATCATCAGCATCAATCTTTTTGGTTATGATTTGATTTAAAATTCAAAAATTTGACCTAAAATCTACATAAAAGTGAAACTTGTTTTTAAAGGAGGAGCAAAATACCTTTTTTGCTGCCTGGCTGATTGTGGGATTATGTCATTCAGTAAAATGAGACTGAAGTTTGTGCAGTTCAATCTGATCAGATTAGCTTCTACATGTGTATTCAGTTCAGAAAAGAAAATGAGTTAACAATACATTTTATTGCTTATTTAAAATTTTTAGTGGGCTGATTTTATTTTATTTTACATTTAAAAGATCAGAACTAAATACAAAACCAACAAGCAGCGTTAAAATTATAGAAGTGTTTCTGAGAGATGAGTTTTCATCAAACACCTTGAACATGAGAGTTATCGTTTCCCCAAAAAGAAAAAGGCCAAACTAAAGGTTTAACTTCATAACTTTGACATCACAGTGGGTGTTTAACATTTGTTAATTAAGCTGGGTTATACTCGCAGTGAATCAACACTGTTGGCATTATCACTTCACAATGGAAACAAATAAGAAAAAAAAATTCTTGTATTGAATTCTGCATTTCCATTCCGAACATATTAACTAAAATGCACGTAATAAAAAAAGAAAAATCAACCTTCCCACCATGAGCTTTTCAAATGCAAATCAGCAAATGTTTTTACGCACAGCTGGTCCCACACAGTACCAGAAATCACCAAATGTTTGCATGATCATGAATGATTTTGCCAGTTCACGCAAAACAAGCAAGAAGAATGACTCTCTAGTTAAGCTTTAGGAAATCTGCACACATCTTTTATTTTAAAGCTTGCCCGATGCTTCACACTGCTCCTGCGTTTGACTTCCTGTCTGACCCGATCTGAACTGCTGAGCTTGATGCACTCTAGAAGTTTAGCACGCAAAAATGGACTTGAATTGTGATTTTAATGGTGCAACACTACACTTCTGGGATGTGTCAAAGAAGCTCTGCTCATCAGTAGAAACACACCCATTGACTATAACAGTTGGCCTAGAATAGACGGGCCATAACAGAAGCAGGTCGGTCTAGCCACGCTCCATGGAAGGCTGAGCAGATCCCGAACAGTGCTGTGCCTTGCCAGTCACAGCACTCGTATCGGTTTGGTGGGCGGGATGTTACTGCGACTGAGCGAAAGAACAAAGATGGTGGTGGTTTGTTTGAAACAGCTTTGGCATCAGCTTTGGACTATTTGTACTTGGCTTTACTTCGAGTCGAGAGCAGATAAAATTACTCAAGTCCTTTATTTAGAAAAGGATGTATTTGCGTCTTCTTCGACACTGTATGGTGGACTGCCCCGTTTACTGTCATCCATAACGGTGAGTATGTCACGTTGTGTGTTGTCCAATAGCATGCCGAGACGGTTTAAAAGTCAACCGTAGATTCTGCCCCACAACTGGGCTCTCTTTATTGGTTGTGGACAGACTATATATTCACATATATAGGATGGCTGTTGGTGGCTACTAGTTTACTATTTTGCAGGCAGGGGCTTGAGGACCAACTTTTTTACACAAAGTTTTAAAAAAAATTCTAACGTAATATCTGACACAAATTTCAGAAAACTGAGGCCCCTGCTAGCCACATTTTGAAAGTTAATGGTGCGTTCCAGTTGTCCTCGGAACTCGTTTTTCCTAGATAAGTTAGCCAGAAATTATGCAATGATAAATGATAAATGACCCGCACTTGTATAGCGCCTCTCAGAGTAAGGACTCCAAAGCACTTTACACTACTGTATCATTCATCCATTCACACACACATTCACACACTGATGGTGATGAGCTATGATGTAGCCACAGCTGCCCTGGGGCGCGCTGACAGAGGCGAGGCTGCCGAGCACAGGCGCCACCAGTCCCTCCGATCACCACAACAGCAGAATTCTCTGTCCGGAGCCGGGATTGAACCTGCAACCTTCCAATTACTGGACAACCCGCTCAACCTGTTGAGCTACTGCTGCCCCAGCAATGAACTCAGAATTCCAAGCTGCGAGCTTGTAGGTTTCAGAGGACCCAGAGATCCCAAATTAAAAGATGGCTGCGCCCAGTGCTACAAGGAAGCAGTTATCGTCATTTATATGTTCTGTTTTCTTTCTTTTTGATATTTAACAGCACTGGCGAGTAGTTTATTTTTGTTATCAATAGTTACGTTGTTGAAAAATGTGACAGGTGCTTATGGTTTTTACTTTTCCTAGTGTTTATAATTTTACATTTAATTTGTAATGTTTTTCTGGTTGTATGCGGCAACTGTCGAACGTCGTGTGTGTCACTATTTAGATGCAGAGACTCAACAACACTGGTGGCATCCATGTTTTCTGAGTTGGAAGCTGGAACGCAAAACGAGCCCATTATGTAATTTCCTGCTTGGAATTTAAGTTTCGGGGACAACTGGAAGGCATGAAAACACAGGCATGCCTGGCTCATGCTAGCTTGCATTTCCTTTACTAGTTTCTGATTTGACTCTTTTACTGTTCAAAACTTAGGGGAAAGTTGTTCTCCAGAGTCGTATTTTGTTGTGCCATAAACTTTGCATAAAATTTTTTTTTTTTTTCTCTTGTGTGGGGAGACAGGCCAATCCAACGCATAACCAGGTAATAACAGGTGCAGGGGGTCGTAGCGGCTAAAATACCTAAGAATCTACTATGTATTTTTCACAACTCCTAAAAATAAGCAATCATTTATCTATATCCATATTTATAGAAAACATTCAAAAGTAATTAGAAAATGTGTTTTAAGTGCAGCCCTGGCCATTTTACGCTATTCCTTCATGAACTACGTTCATTGAAGAACCCACAAAAACTGAATTAAATTCTACATTTCGCTTGATAGGTTTTAGGAAAAAAATTTATTGCAATCATTCTTCACAACTGGGATATATTGTAATATTTCCAAACATGACAGGAAATGACCTCAAAACATTAAAAGCCAGTAATAATACTTTTCTCCCTTTTTTTAATCTATTCAAATAAATGCTTTGTAAAAAGTCCTTCCATCTTCTACTCTAATAGTGTAAGCTGAAAACTGAAGGTAACGTTTGCTTTCAAATGTATTTATTAACAAAAAAAAAAGTGCATACAGAGTTTTCCCTGCATTACTCTACCAAGAAGTGCTGCCTGGTTGTTTTTTCATTTTCTCACAAATGCACCATGTTCCAGAGTTTCCAGATATTTTACACTGCTTTCGAGTTTGACGCATTCTGAAAGCATATTGTGTAAAATATTGACTTGACGCGTCCTACGCGTCCTTATGCTTCTAGGACGCATAGTGACGCTTTGTGGCCGGTGGAAAGGAGCCCATCCACTGTAACAGCTAATAAACTACGTTTTGCAACGCTTACGCGTCTGGTGGAAAGGTCTGGTCTGGTTTGTGTTATGACAGTAAATCCCGTTCTGCTGCCAGAGAATCAGTCCCGTCTTGCATGGTGCTGAGTGAGGTACAAAACGTTAGCAGCAGTGATGGTCGACCACAGCCATTTTTAATTTTGGCTGTAAGTCTAGTTTCATCCCTGTTTGTTTCATATGAGCTCCTGCAACTCTAAAATGACACTGAGCAATCATTATCCATTAAAGACCATAGAATATACAAACAATTTTTCAGTAGGCTATTTTGATGTGTGTTTCTGTGTAAACGTTTTAAATGAGTATTTTTTTAATAACTTTAACATAGTTTTTTCCAGAAGAAATATGAATAAAACCAGCCTGATGTGACCCACGGGAAGTTCTACTTTTTGCTGCTACAACTGGTGATGTTTGTTTGTAAATAATTATATTTATCAATGTAAATGAACAGAAAAGGTGAATAAAGTTTATAGCCATGCATGAACCTCTGACATTTTAGAAATTGGGGCAATGCATTGTGGTTAGCTTATAATTCTTCATGAATGAAACTACATTTCTGCCAATGGAGCGGTCAGGAAGCTGTCAAAGACTAATTATTCGTAACGTTTACACAGAAATACACTTCAAAATGTCCCTTTTAATGCTGCATGTGAATACTCCCGGGTAACGCTGACTTGTCATTTGGCATAATTTGCTTACAGTGCTTCATTATCATCCTCTTTATGTAATTTTGTTTTTGTTTAGGAAAGCTAATCTTTACTTAAAATTAAAGATCCAAATAAAAGGTTGTTTTTTTTTTGGCCAAGTTAATATGATGAGCAAAAAAAAAAGAGAGAGAATTTCTTTGATAGCTCAATGTAAATAAAATATTTTCCAGCAAAAATATCTTTTGTCACACACAGATTAGCCACCGCTGTTGGAAAGCTTTACCCAACACTGGTCGAGTGAGCATCACTCAGTATGAGGTGAGGAAGCGTTGTTTGACAAATAGACTCACTGAACACATCAAGAGCAAAGAGCATAAAAACAACAAAGTGATCCTTGCAACCAGATGCATCATTCATTTAAAACTAAACTCTGAGTATCATGTCTGAAGTGGCTTTGTGCCACTTTTACTTTGAAAAACGTTTCCAGCAGTAACAGACTTGATGGGAGACTTCCTGTGTTCATGGTCCCGAACTTACTCCTGGAAACAAGATCAGTAGATTTATTTGATGGACCTTCAGTTACAGCAGTTAGACTTTGAAATCTCCATCAGACTGAGTGATAACCTCTCTGACATCCTAAGATGTCACCCCACCACCGCATCACATGCACATGATACTGATTAAAATGTGCCGTCGCTCTTTTACCCATCCTCTCTGTGTCTCGCCTGCAGATGTGGCTGATGATGATGATGATGACGACGATGACGATGACATCCCTGAGCAGGGTGAGACCCAGTGGGCCGTCTCACAGGAAAGCATCCCGCGCCGAAGGCGGGGTAGGGGCCACAAGTTCAGACGGAGAAAGATAATGAGCGGGCATGGAATCCGTTCCCGACGCTGTAGAGTCTGCACAGGCTGCTTGGTGGAGGAGGACTGCTCCAAATGTATAAACTGCCTGGATAAACCCAAATATGGAGGACCCAACACAAAGAGGCAGTGCTGCATGTAAGTGAGCACACACAATAACAGGGCTCTTACAGGTGCTTGAAGTCCTTGTGAATGCTTGAATTTTTACAAAAGTGATTGAAGCCACAATTGAAATTGAGTATATTACAATAATGTTTACTTTGAGAGGCAAGGGAGTGAAAAAGTTGCTTTACATATTATCCATAAATAACCAGTTTGATGTACAGGAAGATCTTTATATCTTTTCCTGAAAGTACTTGATTTCCAGATCAAAGTAGCTGCAGGAGCTCTATAGTACATTTTCAGAGTTAGCAGGTGTTTATAAAGGAAAGATGTAGGGATGTAAGAAAATATCAATTCCCTGAAATATTGATATTTAATGTTATGATATCCAATTGATGTTGAAAGGCAGTGTATCAATTTTTTTATAGATAATTCCCGAAGATGCAAAGATGAACTATTTATTTTATGGGGTGCAATTCAACCTTTGGATCCTAGGTGGCAGCAGGTTTTACCGCCTTTACTTGGACAGAATATTGAGGTCTCGCAATAGCACTGGATGTGTCTTTGAAGCGTCTGGCCTGGGTCTTAACAATTGCAAATCTCGACTGAATTTTAGTTTTGCAATATATCACATCGTCTCACATTTTTTGTAATCTGTACAAGTAAAGATCACTGAACAGGGGAGACGATACAATATATATATCACTATATGGAAACAAGAGTTTCCCCCCCAGCGCTTGGTCACCCGCCAGGCGAATCGTGGTTCCTCCCCGCTACATGTGTAAATCCACTGTCTAGTGGGGCTGGGGGGTAAACGATTATTCTGACGATTATTTTATCGAATAGTCGACTATTCTAATGAGTATTTAGACGATAATCTAGTGATTATTTTTTTAATTGCACAATTAATAAAAACAAGAAAATCTCAAATAAATTCCTCCAAAAAATTGATAAGTTGTTACTGTAGGAGAATAAACACTACAGGCCTTCCATTTTGTATAACACTGCCTTTATTGTGTTGGCTGGTTATGTTCTGGTTACGTGTAGAACTTGGGAGTGCAGGCTGCTGCCTGAGAGGTGGTTGGAGACGGAGTGTCTCCATGCTGCTTTGTTTTGGTCACTTATGTGAGTGAGGCGAGTGGTGTTACGACCCTTCCTGGGGAGTTCGGCTCGTGTGCAGAAAGGAAGGGACAATAACACGGGATTTGAAAGTTAAAATGATGATCAGGTTTGTTTACAACTACAAAAAAACATAAATCTTTCCATCCACAGGTTGGGAATAATAAAACTAATTCTGCCTGTGGGGAATTAAAACAAAAGTACAAATAACTAGGAATGTCACACTGGGCAAAGATTACAGGGTTCTGGACCAAAATAAGGATCTCCAAAGTTCCAAACTCTAAACTGGGCGGTTAAACCAAACTCAAGGAGATATTTAAAACTAAACTGAAAACCCACAACACTCTAAATGTAATAAAAGGAAGATCTACACCACAAAAAAGATGAACTCTAAACCAAAACGTAACAGCTTATCCAAACGCAAGAAGCTGTTAGCGAAAATGCTAACAGTAGCTTTACCAACGTTAAAGAGCAAGTCACCCCCTACCAGAGTCTAACTCCACTCCCACTTCATGTTTGATAAACGCAACAAATGCTGTTGCCTGGCAGACCGAGAGGGCAGAGCCGCTAACAAACACACACACACATACACAGGCTCACGGCAGCATTGTGACATCATAATGTACCCGTTTACATCATAGCATACCTCTTAGCCAACAGCGGTGGCAGATTTAAATTCAAATACGGTGCAGAGTTTTTACCTGACAACGGCACAACACTGACAGTTTTAGACAGAAAATTAAAATTTTAACTAGGATGCACTGAAGTGCCAAATTATTGACTACACGTGTCTGCAGCACAATTAGACACTCGTTTATTTAGTTTGTCAGCAAAAAAAAGTTTATTTGGGGGTGACTTTCTCTTTAAGTTCAAGTTGCCACGTTTAAATAAACCAAAATACCCATCAGCAAACAGACCAGCATGGAGGAGAGGCTGCTACCACAAAAACGGCTCTCCTAATGTCTGAAAGAAGCTCCTTTATGAAGGGAGAAATGCTCCCGGTGATTTTCTACATCCGCGGTAGAGACAAAGCAGTGCATCTGACCCCGGAAGTTGTTGCCCGTTGCCGGGAGACGAAGGCGGGCAAAACAGGAAAGGAATCTAGTAGCGGACGGACATTGTTCCGGTTCTTCGGTATTTGGCGGAGATGTTAGTGAAGGCGGAGAAGAGAGCGAACTAGAGGAAAAACAGGCAGATTCCTCCTCTATTTACAAACTCCTGGGGATGCAACAAGTGGGCGTGGTGCGTCGACTACCGGATCTGACGTCGATGAATTTTTAGAATCGAGCCGTCGACGTCTTCGACGCTTCGCTACAGCTCTACTGTCTAGACTGCTTTTCAGCCTGGTTTTGTTTTGAATGTTTCGCTAAAGTCTAGAAGGATAATGAAATAAATTATTATAAATTAAACTTATTAATATTAAGGAATTGTAAGTGGAATCCATGATAGCCTGGAATGAGTTTAACCCTGCTAAACCACCATGTGCATTGGGCTAGACATAAATTTAATCTCCTGTCAATCCTATTTTGTCTGTCTGCAGATTCAAGAAGTGTGAACGGATTGAGAAACGAAAGTTTGACCGTGCTTTCAAACCGCTGAAAAGTATGTATGGTGAAAGTCCTGCTTGCTTTTTATCTATTTATTTTTTCCAGAATAAAATTTTATGTTCTTTTTTTCTTTAGCAACTGATGTAAATAGTTAATTAGAAGAAATAAAACAGCCCAAAATGTACAGATTTTAATTCTTCTTTTTGCCGTTCTCAGTCTGGGCCAGGCAGTACTCCGGCTCCACATCAGGCAATGAATCAGCCTTGGGCACCAGAGAGCCTGACGAAGGATTGGCCCCGACAGCGCTGGGAATCAAGAAGCATTCGCTGCGTAAAACTAAACCGCGTTCCTACAGCAAACTTCTTAGATCTGAATCTGAAGGAGAGGGCGAAGAAACGACGGCCAACAAACCTGATGCGTCCAGCCAAGGTAAGAAAAAAAAAGCTGAGATTTAATCTTTGTGAGCAGAAGTGTTGAGATTTGTTATTTCATCTTGAAGATGTAGCTCCCCAACATGGCGGTTTGCTGTTGCATGATCGAAGGCCATTTCCCAAGAGTGCCAGCAGCCGACCGAGAGCCCACAAGGTAAAAATCACTGAGCAGGAGTTGCTGTTTATTATTAGTCCTTGATCAAGTCTGGGTCAAATTGTGTTTTTGGATTAAAGCTTATTTTCGATTGCTTTGGCCTGCCTATATCCAGTGAAGATTAACTGTAGAGTTCATTAGCAAAAACAAATAACTGTTATTTATTTCAAATTTGCGTTTGGTTATTTTGACCAAAATGTATTTTATCTTTTTTTATTTGCAAAATGAACTCTTCAAAAATGACCAAGAACTCAAAAGACTAGATGTAAACAAGTAAAAGCATACCATCAGGGTTTTCCTGGCTCAAACTGAGGCTGAGGTGGTACCATCCTGACCATGCGCCAGCACATGCATACTCTGTGCATCCAACTGCCTCACCTTTCTAAAGGCAAAATAGTTTTTCATTAAGTGTTCTAATCTAAGCTTCTGTTACTTAATTGAATATTCCATTTGACGTTTCAAGTGAAACAAAACTGGTTTGCTGCTAAAAATATGAAATAAAACAAAATTATCAGGCTGACATAACAGAATCTTATTAAAAGGCTAAAAACACGCATTAGATTCGTGTTTAGTTCCCTTTTTCCATCTGATATTTATAGTTAAAGATATTTTTGAAATATTTGACCTACTTTTCAGTAACATTTTAGGTTTGTATGAATAACACTCATCTTAGTCAAAATAACACAAAAATATCCAGTAAAATATAATGCATTTCATTAACGTGCATTTGTGTTGGAAATGGTAATAACATTTAATTTCTGCTGCTAACAATGTAATGGTGGCATGTCTATTATGTACGGTTGGCAATAATCCAGTTCAAATTATGTTCAAAGATAGAAGCGTTTGTGAATTATATACTACAACGGCTTGCCGAAGTTAACTCGTATCTGCAGCGGTTCTGATCCGTAGCGCTGCAGGATGCAGAATAAACAGGATGGCGGGGACTTTTCATCCAATTGTAGACTTTAATCTTTCTTGGTTTTACGATCATCATATATTTTTCTGTGTGCCACTTGATCGTGAGACTGCTACCTGTTAGCTTTAGCATTAGCCACACTGCGTGTAGCTGCACTTTTGATCCCAAACTTTGGACCGGTTCAGCCTTTGTGCATTTGCTGGTTCCTTTATTTACCTCCACTGCATCTAGATGACCACACTGTGCGCCTGTAAAAAGCATTTTTCTTACACATAACTTTCTTTTGTTCAGTAAAGTTCTGGGGAAAATAGTAATTCAAAGATGTTGCACCAGTGCTACGTTTAAAAATAGACAAGCACAGGCAGTTTTTTTTTCGTTGCACTGTACAGCCCTGCTCTGATATGGAAGAGCCTGGGGGAAAATCAGGACATCAGTAGCACCAACCATAGATATGTAACTAGCGAGAAAAGCAACTTTTGATCATTTTCTGCAGCGGTAGTGCTTTTAGATGCACCGCTGCTGATACAGCGCCCCTGTAGTGGCGCAACGCTGCAACTGCAGTGAAATTAACATATAGCTGGGGGCAGAGTGAAATCAGGTTGGGGCGGCACAAAATTAGCTGGAGGCGGCCACCACGCAAATTTGAACGCAGGAAAAACCCCTGACCATAAAATTCTTCCAAAGAATAGTTTGCCCCAGACTTTATGTAAGAAGCTGTGTTCAAATATGTTTCTGTGGATAGTAACACCTTTTAGAGTCTCTAGCTTTTCCTCTGTTTCTGACTATGCTTTATTTTAAACCCTCTGCATGACGCTTATCACCTTTTGTAGAGTTTAAATGTGTTCATTGTAAGTTTTAGTGTTGTTTGATGCAGAAATGGCGGTTTGACCTTTACCTTTTTGGGAAACTTTAAACATCTTTTGGTGGTTAATGTTATGAGGGATTCAAGACTTGAAATCTATAAGGAATATTTATTTAAAGGTGCAATAAGTATGAATTTTGTTTTGAAATAATTACAAAACACTTGTATCAATCATGTTGAAAGAAAGGTTAGATTGGAACGGATTTCCTTCTGAGCCAGCTGAGGAGGTTGTCAGCTTTTTTTTACAAAGGCCGAAGAGGGACATAGTATTTGTTTGCTGTCTGTCCGCCCTCCTTACTTCCTGGTTCCAGAGCCAATCGTGTTTGAGTCAACACATACAACACATACACTGCTGTGCCCGTTTTTGTAATTTGACACCAGTTGGCAAAGAGCAGCAGAGTTGTGGGCAGAATGGAATCCAGTAAAAGGAGTGTCCCAGAAGCAAAAGAAAGTAAAACAATTTTTGTGTTTCTCTAGTAGCGGGCAAGGAAGGCTAGAGGCTAACGTTGAGCTAACAATACCTGAGGCTACCCTTTTTTAATACCAAGAACTCGATATTACAGTTAAATGTATTTATCTGCTTATCAACTTACTTATGAGGTTAATCTAGAATCTTCTGCTGCTGATCTGTAACCGGCTGCGTTGGAGTGGACTTGTTTGTTTTAATACGTGGGCTGCAGTACCCTAGTTTGACCATAGGGTGTCTTCCTTACTTCATGCACCTTTAAAATTTTAAGAATGGATGTAATAAATTGGTATTATTAGTTTTTATTCATTTATCTTCTTTGGTATTGAAATATTTTTTGTAAATAATATTTTTGTTTGTTGCCTGTTTTCTAAATCACGTTGAGTTAAATTAATTGGTTATATTTAAAAAAGTATTATACTATACTATTTTTTAATCAACTTTTTGGTCTCCTCACACTTCAGATCTTGTTGACTATGATTTTTATTATTATTGCTTATTTATATAGCCTTTTTTATTTTTAAAGCTTGTTGCCTGAGACCTAAGTTTTAAATGTAATTTTCTGCTCGACTCAGCTGTCATGTTTTAAAAGTTTCTAGTTACTTTCATGCTTTTGGCCATTTAGAATTTCTTAGTGGTACACATCACAATGTTTGAATCCGTAATTAATAAATATTTGTATTTTTTAGGGTAGTTCTGAACTTTTAAAATTTGGCGCATTCTGAGTCAATTTAGTGTGTGTGTGTTTGTTGTTGCATTAGCTTAACTCGTGTCTGCCAGCTGTTCCTTTCTAACAAATGAAGCTAAAAGTTGCTCCTTCCTTTTTCCATCACTCTGGCTGCTGCTGCTGACCGTCTCCTCTGCATGCTACTGTTACTAGTGTGACTTTGGAACCCGTCTTGCTGGTTGGCTTAGGCAGTCCCCTCCTTCACAGGAACAGGAGAACACAGAAGTGGCGGAGTCCAGAGAAACTTTGCCTGAGTCTGGATCCACTGGGAGCCCAAAGCTGCAGAAGCAGCTGCAGATACACTTGTACCGTCTGCCTGAATCTGTCCTGAAGTCTGCTGTTCTGTGCTCGCGATGGCAGCCGCCTCAGTTTGTGGATCGCTGTGGTGCGCAGTCCCAGCTTATAGGACAACCTGCTACTTCGCTGATGAGCCCTCCTCCAGAATTGACCAAACCAGAAACGCGACCTGCGTCTCCACCCTCACCACTTCACAATCCAGATTCTTCTCAGAAATGCCCGTTGTTGCGTTTGCAACATTTGCCTTGTTCTACGATGCAGTCGGCTTTCTGCCGACAGAGAGCCGTACCATCTGCACCTCAAAAGGACCTAAAACCTGCACTGCACGCAACTCCGACAAAGGCTTCCTCACAGATGTGCTCAGGAGGAAAGGAGTCTGAGGCGACACATCCAGGCTCCCTGATGGAGAAACGCAAAGAGAACACAGATAAAGCTGCCGGCCAAGGTGTGCCAGAAACACTGTCGACTGTTAGCCCAAACCTAAAGGAGGCTGTGCAAGAGGAGAAGGACTCATGTGAGGGGCGGTCTGAAGAGGATAAGGACAGCTCTTCTGTTAAAGAGACGATGCTGCAAAGATGTCCAACAACTGACCCTCACTGTGTCCTTCATTCCCAGAGTCCTGCTGATTGTGCATCAGTGAACACCCTGACGGGGACAACCAATGGATTTCCCCGAAGGGGCCTGTTGCAGAGTAAGCACAAGATCCGTGTAGATTTCAAGGTGAGTCTTTGCACCTGAGCGGGTTTTAGAGATGATCTCCAACCCTTGCATGAATTAGTTCTTTATTTTGCATTAAAACTAGCGACCTGGTTTCCTGAACCTCTTGTTTTCTCTGTGTCCTCTCAGGAGGACTGTGCCATCCAGAACGTCTGGCTAATGGGCGGCCTCAGCGTCCTCTCCTCCGTACCAACAACCCCTCAGCCAGTCTGTATGCTCTGTGCCAGCAAAGGAAGACACGAGGTGCTTTAACGCAAACTTAATCCACTATAATTTAAAAAGGTCTGACGATCATACCTAACCAGCACCTCGTGCTCCCTTCAGATGATATTCTGCCAGATCTGCTGTGAGCCTTTCCACAGTTTCTGCCTCTCTTCCGAGGAGCGCCCTCATCAGGAGTCCAAGGAGAACTGGTGCTGCAGACGCTGCAAGTTCTGCAACGTGTGCGGCCGCAGAAACAAGAGCTCCAAGGTACTCTGTGTTGATATCAATGGGAAGTAAATAATGCGCAAAAGCATTCATATTTAACCATTTCTATTTATTAGTAGTTGTTCATGTTCATGATGGTATTCATAAATCCTTTGAATAACATTCCATGCATCTTTTTTCCAGCCTGTGTTGCAATGCAGGAGATGCCAGACCTCCTACCACCCTTCCTGCTTGGGACCAACGTACCCCAAACCGCTGAACTGCTACATGCCCTGGGTAACCCATTCAGAGCCCTGTAACCTTCCTTCACTTCATGCATCTTGGGTATTTGATTTGCATGCAATGTGTGTGCAGGTGTGTATGACATGCATTCGTTGTAAGAGCTGTGGCGTGACTCCTGGGAAGACTTGGGACATGGCCTGGAACCACGAGCAGGACCTGTGTCCTGACTGCACCGCTCTCCACAAGAAAGGTGAGAGAAGCATCAGGAACCTCCAAGGTTTTCATCACACTTTAGTCAAAGAAGAACCGTTTTTATTTAGAACTGTGTGTTTAGGTTTAAATGCGTGTGTGTGTGTGTGTGTGTGTGTGTGTGTGTGTGTGTGTGTGTGTGTGTGTGTCAGGTCATTTCTGCACTATTTGCCTCAAGTGCTATGAAGACAGCAGCCAACCCTCAGAGATGATTCAGTGTTTGAAGTGCAGCCACTGGATTCACCACAGCTGTGAAGGACTTTCAGGTACGTGGCTCATTCAGTCAAATTTCTGCTCTCTGATTACTCAGTTCAGTGTTTTGCAAGATCAAAGTAGCAAATGCATGCTTTTACCTGATTTTTCCACACTTCAAACCTGATTTTTAATCTTCTCGACGTGAGGTCTGAAAGCTATGTTGATCGCGTTTGTGTTTTGCAGAGGAGCTTTTTGGGCTGCTGCCAAATCAGACGGAGAAGGCGGACTTCACCTGTGCACCGTGCAGACAGAAACACACCGACAAGCGCAGCCTGAAGGAGGAACTGCAGGGCAAACTGAAAGCCGGGCTGGAGGAGGTTCTTGATGTCCTCCTGACCTCCAGCAGCACTCGGCACCTTCTGGTCTGTAAAGAGGTGAGAGCTAAAAAGGTCATATCCAGAGAAGAATGGAAAACATCTTAATCACATTTTTCTTAATTTTTAGGGGGGAAAATTTGTAAATTTGTAAAATTTTGATTGCATTTTAGTGTTTGGAAATGAACGTGACTCCAGCTGATCAGGAACAGCAACAGATCTGTGATCTAAAAGCTCTAGAGAAGAAATTTAGAGGAGATGGCTACACATCAATAGTGAGTTTGTTTTTATTTCTTTAGTTCTGGCTTTACGAAAGCGTCCTTAAGCCTTCTAGGCTAGTTTTACTTTCTGCATCGACTCCTGCGAGTTGCTTTTGTTTAAAAGCTTCTTTTTCATGTTTCCAACTCAGAAATCGTTTCATTTGGACGTCGTCTCTGTGATGAGAAAGTGGATAAAGGAGGAGGAACGTCTCCCCGAGGATGAGAGCCTGGCAGCTCAGTCCCAAGCACACTACATCCAAGTAAGTTTTTCTCCTCTCTTTTTATTTGTTTATTTATTTATTTTTTCTGATCAATCTAAAACCTGGAACTGCATGTTGGAGCTGATCTGACGTGAGTTTTACATTTCCGACAGGTTATGAAGCAGGTTTTCAGTTGTTTTCCGACATTTCATCTCAAAAAATGGAACTCGTTCTCCGAGGAATTTCCAAGGTGAGTACGCTCGTCCCTAAAACATAATAATTTTTCCTTTTTCTTAGCTTTTTATAGTTTTTTATATAAAAACTGTTCATTACTTTTTAGTGGGATGCTCCCAGAGGCGGTTCTTCCACCTTCTAAGGAGCACAGTTACGCTCAGTGGGTGGAGAGGACATACCAGCCCAAGGACCCACAGGCGGACCGTGTGTCGTCGTCGTTGGACGTCATGCAGGAATCTAGTGCACAGCTCAACACCTCTCTTTGTTCAAAAGGTACTGATGCAGCCTGCTTTACACCATGTGGGATAAGAAGTGTCCGCTGTACAACAAGGAATTAACAAATGCTCATTAAATTCTCCAGAATCCATTAAAACTGAAGATACGAGGCAGTGTGTCCTGTGCCAGCAGTATGGAGATGCCTCCCCCAACGTGAGTTTGTCTTCGCTTTAAAAAAAAAAAAAGGGCTCGTCTGCCTGGACTAGTCATGTGACTGTAGTTTTAACCTGACAGGAGGCGGGGCGACTGCTGTACTTGGGACAGAACGAGTGGGCTCATATTAACTGCTGCCTGTGGTCGGCTGAGGTCAATGAGCAGGCTGGTGCTCTGCTACAAGTGCACAGTGCTGTCTCAAGGGGGCGCCACTTGGTATGTCACAGTAAAAAAATAATGATGCAAAAGCAGTGGTTGGGTGTAATTCTAATTATTTTTGTTTGTTGCAGCGTTGCGATCATTGTGGGCAGTCGGGCGCCACAGTGGGCTGCTACCTCTCCTCCTGCCTCAGCAATTTCCACTTCATGTGCGCTCGAGTCAACAAGTGTGTGTTCCTGCAGGACAGAAAGGTGTACTGCTATGCACACAGAGAGCTGACCAGTGCAAAGGTGCGGGACTTGGGGCTTCTCTAATTCTGTTTTTAAATGCACACCTGCTTGTTTTTGTGCATATTTTTAGATTATTGTTTATCATTTCAGGTGGTGTCGGGAAAAGGGTTTGAAGTCCCTCGGCGGGTGTATGTGGACTTCGATGGGATCAATCTCAAAAAGAAGTTCCTGACTGGCCTTGAGCCAGAAAGTATAAACATGACAATCGGTAAGCGTGTTAGCCATGAAGGAAGTCGTACTGAAAAAGATGACCAGGGCTCTAACCCCGGACAAATGAGACCAAGATAGAAAACGGCAGCTGGATGGCAGCATCCTGGATGAATATGAATCCATACCAAGATAAATGTTTTGGGAACTGATGACCATTGAAAAGGGAGGAGTACAAAGAAAAGCATGACACCTACAGTAAGGTTGTACAATTGATGGTCTGAGTCTGTCAGATTATTTTTATTATCTTAATGGGTATGAATGAGTCTCACGAATGGGGCATGACATACTTCCAGGTCTAATCAGCATTTTTTTATTGTAACACCTTTTCTATTTTCCCTAAATGTAAATGTCATTAGAAAGCTAGGATTCTTGGGATTTCAATGGTAAATGCCCATCAAGGACACAACCATAACTGTAGAGTCAGGGTGCGGTTTGTCAGACCACTCAGAAATTAAAAAAAATGTCTAACTCCGTGCTCCAAGCGTTAAAAGATTGGTCAAAATTGAGCCATCTTAAACAAAAACATATTTTTTACATGAACTCATTCACTGCCATTGACGAGTAAAGTCGTCATTAGCATGTTTTTACTGTGTGGGCGTCGGAACGAGCCCCCGCGCCGAGAGAACAAACATCTCAGCTCTGAAGCCGATCTTCATCCGCATACGTCACACGTCACGTGATCAGGAAGCTGAAAACCCATGTGTTAGGAGATCGTTTTGGGCCGTTCCTGTAAAAAAAAAAGTGAGGCGCGAACTGGAAAAGCTTCTGCTGATCACAATTCAACAACGGATTATGAAAGAACGGATAACGCTCGAAACGCACGGATTCTTCCTGATGTAAGAGGTGAGTCTCCGCTTTGTTTTGCTAGTTTTGGCGTCGACGTCATCCTAGCCCACAACGTTCTGTGACTCTTAAAAAAACAGTAAAACAGTGAGAAGCGCTGGCAGCGAATGAGTTAAGGGTCCAGTTAAGGTACTCGTAAAATAGTTGGTCCAAAACAAGTCTAATGTCCACAATCCTACATAATAGATGGAAGTATTCAAAATGTCCTGCATCTCTTTCTCACCATAACCTGTTAGCATCCCCCATGCTAGGGCAGAATCTGAAGCTATCGGCCGATAGATCACGACAACTGCCCACTATTTTCAGGTTTGCAGGTTTGTAGCTCAGACCAGCAGATGCATCATATAGCAGAGGAAACTTGCAAAACAATGACTTGAGAGGGATTTTGATTGGTGGATCGCTGTATGTCACACCCACAAAAGGTTTAAACATAACCGGAGCAAATTTCGCCCATTGTCATTAGTTGGACTGACAAATATCTGTAAATTTTAACCTGTCACCCAACCTTTAAAGTGAAACACGGTGGTGGCAGTGACTTAATGTGGGGCTGCTGGTGTCAGGGATCCACGTTTTATTAATGTAATTAAAACATTTGTTCTTAAAGGCTAGAGAGATGTTGTAGTTGCAGTTTGTCACCACCTGGTTCCACGCCTATGAGCCTTGGTGCTGTCCTTAAGGTCATGCTAAAATGTTGATGATGTAGTAGTTGTGGGATGTATTCAGGTTTGCAACAACTAGTTAGCATAAAAATTAAGATCTGGTAATATTATTAACCAAATTTAAGAAAACATTTGTTGAAATTGAGAGAATCAATAAGGTATAATCTCACTTTTTAAAGAGGATGCATTCATCCATGTTTAGTTTAAACTCAATCTTTCATCTTCAAGCGAAATGTTGTTGGTAGTGAGCTGAATTATGTGTTTACTCCGTTTCCAGGTTCTCTCCAAATTCAGAAACTCGGAGTGTTGTCTGAGCTGTCGACAGTCGGGAGGATGTTGTACCCCGTTGGTTATCAGTAAGTATGTTCCTCCTGAATGTGTCCTTCACCAGGTTGACAGTGTTTTGTTTGAGTCTGTCCTCCCTGTTCCATCTGTAGATGTTCTCGGTTGTATTGGAGCACCGTGGACCCCCGGAGACACTGCAAGTACACCTGTAAGGTGACAGAAGTGAGCACGCCTCTTCCTGGTGAGGAACAGGACCTGAAATGGGACAAAGAAGAGAACCACACCATTGTCCACAGTCCCAACCATCTCAGAGGTGAGCACAATCCTACAGGTCGCTCCGGTGTTGAGAAGAGCAAAAAAGGAGATAATTTAACGATTTGAAGCTTTTTAATGATTTGGCATGGTTTTCTTTTTGTTGCAGATTCAGATATGGAGTACTCGGACTGTTTCAGCTCCTCTTCCAGCCCAGTAAAGTCCACAACCCCATCACCCAACTCCAAAGCATACGACACAGCAGGCCCTAGAAGTCCTGGCTACTCACAGGCCAGGAGACCTGCAGGGGGATCGTCACGTCCTCTCCCATCGCCGGGTATGTCAATTGTTTAAGTACATTTCCTGTCATATTCTGTATCTTTGGGTACGTTCAGCTGTTTTTCATCATAATGTCTTTGATGCCAGGTTCTGTTCACTACAAGTCGCACCACATCCTGACTCTGAGGGACCTGGAGGACACCCGACGCCCTCGCCGTCTCTCATCAAGAAGACGCTGCAGCTCCTCGCCGACAGAAAGCAACCCGTCTGTCCCGGCAAACCTCCACTCCGTCCGCTCCAGATGTTCCCAGTTTAGCCCCCATCCAAGATCCTCCAACTCCCCCCCGCTCTCACCACAAAATTCTACGTCTCCGATTTTTAACTCCCCTCCTAGATCCAATTCCAGCCCTTCTGTGGGACTTTCGCCCCGACGCGGAGCCATCACTCACTCTCCCAGAGGGGGGCAAAACTTTAAAATCACAACCCCGGTGTCCGCAGAGGTTCCCCAAGACTTCTTGGCATCATCAGAGGCAGAAGATGCAGCTGTGGCCACAACAAACGGGATCTCCTTGGCTCCTGATAACCTGGAGGAGGAGGTGGCCCATTTGATGTCCCAGGAGCTTCCTTACACCGTGTTTGACACAGATGTAGCCGTGGCTTCCATGCTGAACACTAAACTGGAGTTTGAGGAGGCTCTTCTGGCTGAGAATCTGGCTCTCAACAGCGCTAAAGCAGAGGTAGAGGGCGAGGACAATCAGGAGAGGGGCTCTGACGATGAAGACTCGAGACATTATGGGAAGTTATCCCGTACGGTCGTGAGTAACGCAGAGGGCAGCTCTGACGAAACCATTCAGCTTCTCGCGGCCTCGTCAATTTCTCAGCTGGACGGGGCAGATGGTGGGTCGGAGAGCGATGAAAGCGAGGCGCTAGAAGACGAAATAAAAGTTCACTCCATTCCAGACACACCCACAAAGCGTCTGTCTGTAACGCTGACCCGGTTGGAGCCGTTGTATGCTTCGTCACAGTCCAACGCCGAGCAGCAAGTAACAGAAGTCGACAGCCAAGAAACTTTATCCGCTCCGGATTTTCTGGACTCACGTTGCGTAGGAAACGATCTGTCACTGGTGGAGGAGGAGGTCTCTGTGACCACGCCAACGTTTCCAAAGGACGTGTTTAGAAATTCTGCTGCAGATCATTTTGTTTCATCTGTCAGTGACTCCGTAGACATCTTGAGCTCCAGTTCGGATGATGACAAAGATGAAGATAACTTATCATCTGACTCAAGTGAGGTATTTAAAGACGATGAAACGGATCCAGATTTTCACCCGGAACTCGAGTCCAAAAAATCTCCGACGGTAGTGAAGAAGAACACACCCGAGTCTATTCCCAAGCAGGTGTTGCAGAGGGAGAGTTGTCAATTCCAGCCAAACGTCAACAGCCTAACCCACCGCCTCGGACACGTTCCTTCTGCTCCCGCGATGTTCTGTTCAGTCCAGCGTCCGGTCACGTCCCCCATCGTCATCAACGGCCTAAACACTTTGCCTGGTCAAGCCGGTCCCACGCAGGGCAGGAGAATCGCTATTCGCTTAGACACCTCGAAGCCAGGCGGTCAGCCGCAGAAGGAAGTGATCCAGAATCAGGCTGAGGAAGCAAACTCACCCGCTCCACCAGCTCCGGCCCGTCAGGTTCTACTTGTCAACCGTCAGGGGCAGATTCTCCTCAAAGACCCGCTAACAAACACGTTTCAGGCTCTAAGTTCAAACTCCCCTGCTTACAACCGAATAAGTCAGATCGCCAAGATTCTCCACAACAGAAACTCTGTGTCATCTGTTCCTCGTGTCATAATAAAGTCTCCGTCCAGCCCCTCCAACCCAAACGCCACTCCTATGAGCAACTGCGCAACGCTAGAGAAGAAAATCATCGTCAAAATGTTGCCTGTGAAAAGCAGCCTTCTTTCAGCCTCCCCAGCTCCTGTCGGCATTCAGACTGTTCCCAAACAGAGCGTCTCCAACACCCAAAGAAACCCTGCTCAAGCAATCATCGACCGAGCCATGGCCTCTCATCGAGACGCGTCGAGGCCAAAACCCATCATTCTCGGCAGCAATCGCCAGCGAAAGCTTGGGCATCAGGGACCGCCACAAGTTCCACACATGAACAATTCAGATGAGTCCTCAGTGGGACACTCGAGGTCTTCCAGTGTTTTCAGTAGGGTTAGAGTAAGGAGAATGCCCCCAGTGTCTGAAAGACACTCCAAGAAAAAAACAAAGATTGAACTTCTGAAGGATCTGTCGAGCGAACCGGAGGAGATTCAGGAAGCAAGGTGTTTAAAAATAATAAACTTTTTACATTATATGAATTTTAATCCTTAATATTTTATTACTGCAGTAATAAAATCTAAAACACAGTGTTTCTTTAAACAGGACAAGTGGTGTTAGGATGAAGGCACCAACAGTAAGCGATGTCCTGGATCTGAACCACGAAAGCAAGTCGAACCCAGTCAGGATCATGGCCCCACCACTTCCTGCGTCAAGCAGGTGAACATTATTTAGAGACTTATTTTTAACATGCTACTGGGCTTTTCCACCAGAAACGTAAGCAAAACATAGTACGCAACAATTAGCTGCCTTTCCACATATACCATACCATACTAAGTTTATTTGTATAGCACATTTAAACACGGCATCAGAGCCGACCAAAGTGCTGAACAAAAACACATAATAAAAACAATCAAAAGATAAAAACTAAATCCATTAAAATAGAGTAATTCAAATAGTAAAGAAAAAGAAAAAGGATAAGTTAGACTGAATTAAAAGCCAGAGAATAAAAATGGGTTTTTAAACGAGACTTAAAAAGGGAAAGAGAGGAAGAGAGTCTGATCGGGAGGGGCAAGTGGTTCCAGAGCTTCGGTGCACAAACTGAAAAATCGCGGGACTTGCAGCAGGAGCTAGGGACATGAAGGTGCTGGTTGGCTGGTGAATGAGCTCAGGCAAGTAGCCAGGTGCTGTTATTGAGGGATTTGAATACAAAAACCAGAATCTTAAACTATTCGAAGATCGATGGGAAGCCAATGGAGATTTGCCAAAACCGGTGCAATGTGCTCTCGTTGCCTGGTGCCATTCAGGAATTGGGTTGCTGCGTTCTGCACTAGCTGAAGGCGGGCAAGAGTGGAGGAGGAGATACCATATAGCACTGAGTTAGAGTAGTCGAGATGGGAGGTAATGAAGGCATGGACAACTGAATGGAGATGACTCCTTTTAAAAATGGGCTTAACTTTAGAGAGACGCCTCAGGTGGTAAAAACAGGCCTTAACTACCTAGTTGACATGAATGTCCATTTTTAGGTTGGCATCCATCACGACCCCTAAGTTTGTGATATGGGTTTTCAACCCACTTGAAATAAAAGGAAGGGTCAGTTGGGGGCTTGGAGAAGTCTTAGGGCTGAAAATGAAAGTCTCTGTCTTGGCATCAATCAGCAGGAGAAAGTTTTCAGACAGACAGCTCTTCACATCATTGAGACATTCAACAAATGGCTGTAAGGAGTCATTAAGCTTCACAGAGGCATATCATTGGCAATCATCTGCATATAAATGGTAGTCAACATGGTGTTTTTTAAAAATGTCACCCAGGGACAAAATATATAAATTAAATAAAAGGGGTCCAAGAATAAAGCCCTGAGGTACACATCCAGTAGAAAGGTCCGAATAGTGAAAGAAAAATTCATAATTTGACCCTTTTTTTTATTATTATTATTATTATAAGTGCATTTTTTTTTTAGACGTCCACCTTCATTACCACAATCCAGATTTGACCTGGAGACGAAAACTCACACATGGGTCAGCTCTCGACACGGCGACCTCTCTGCCTGGGGTCCTTATACAGGTTAATTCAAGTTTCTCCGTTAGGATATTTTACAGTATTTTAAAACATTTTCTTTATATGTGATTCCTGTTTACTGTGTCTTTTGGAATTCTGCAGGCTGCAGCTCAGAAGAAGAAGCTCCAGCTCTGAAACACAGAAAGAAGACGCGCATGAATCAGCCTCACCTGCGCTTTGAGATCACTAGCGACGACGGCTTCAGCGTTATGGCTAACAGCATCGAGGGTAGGGGGTGTTCTTTTGCTTCTTGTTATTTTGTCACAAATTGGCATATGCTCTGAACTAGGGCTGGACGATATGGCCAAAAATTAATATCACGATATATTGAGGATTTCACCTTGATAACGATAAATGGCACAACTACAGGTATGCGCAGAAACAAAAGCTGTCCACTAGATGGGGCTATCACATGTATTACGTTCAGTCACAACTCAAGGTGGTACAGCTTCGTAAAGGAACATGAATGCTGCCAACCTACATACATCTTTTCATCTTTTTATTATCTAATTTATTGTCATGGAAAAAATTTATCACGATAAGAGTCAGGAATTTTGATAACGATACATTTTCGATTTATTGCCCAGCCCTACTCTGAACATGAGAAAACAGCTCGAGACGTGAATTCCCGCTCTCATCGTCTTCATTGCTTCCTTCTCAGTTGCGTGGAGAGCTGTGATTGACAGCGTCCTGGAAGCTCGAGCAGAATTCCACCTGAAGCAGCTTCCTCTGGGCGTGATGAGCGGCCCACGGATGCTCGGCGTCATCCACGATGCGGTCATCTTCCTGCTGGAGCAGCTAGAGGGCGCTGCCAACTGCAGGCAGCACCGCTTCAGATTCCACTGCTGCGACGACGTGGAGGAGGAGCTGCCTCTCAACCCAAGCGGCTGCGCGCGAGCTGAAGTCTACACAAGGTGCAGACTAGGGATGTGTATTTTTGAAATTCTGGCGATACGATACATATCACGATACAAGGGAGATGATGCGATATATCACAATATATTGCGATACATTCAGTCAGACGTTACAAGCAATTCTTTTTACTGAATTTATTGTAAGAATGTTCAATAAACAGTCCAAACTGATACGTAACATGTTTAACATGAGGTATCTGAACCATGATGGAGGGATTTACATTTCAGTGGTGGAAACAAAACCCGCTGCACACTGCTGCCAACTAGCGGGTGGCAATTGAATTGCGCAAAATGAAAAGAATATACACATATGTTTGCATCTAAATTCTTTCAGGAATTAGATACACGACTTTTCAATATCGATGTAATAATCGCAAGAAAAAATATCACGATATATTGCCATATCGATATTTCCGATACACGTCTTTTGAATATCGATATAATATTGCTGGGGAAAATATCACGATACATTGCCATATCGATATTTTCTTACATCCCTAGTGCAGACACACTACTTTTCTTAACGCCGCTGTAAAATTCTTTAATTAAACTTGTTCTAATTGTTTTTTTTTTTTGTTTCTTCAACCAGGAAAGCAACGTTTGATATGTTCAACTTCCTGGCGTCGCAACACAGAGCGCTTCCAAACTTAGTTGGTCAGTTTGATGAAGACGATGATGAATTTCCACTGAAAGGTTCAAGGTGAGTTACGTAAATAACCAGCACTTGACAACTCTATACAGAAAAGTCCTGAGAGGACAAAATGTTGATTTTAATTTTGTCCACCAGGCGAGCTACTAGCTCCGAGCTCCCCATGGCCATGAGGTTCAGACACCTGGAGAAGATCTCCAAAGAAGCCGTGGGAGTTTACCGGTAAATTACAAGAACCAATATCAAAAAACAATCTGGAGTTTTGATCCATGATCCAATAAAAAACAAATTGTTTCGTAGGTCTCCAATTCACGGCCGTGGACTTTTCTGTAAACGGAACATCGAGGCTGGGGAGATGGTGATCGAGTACGCCGGCACAGTCATTCGCTCCGTCCTGACAGACAAACGGGAGAAATATTACGACGGCAAGGTCAGTAAAAGTTCTCACCTGCAGCTGTTGCAGCATCAACATTAAAGAAATGAACCATTAAGACGTTAATGTTGCAGCTTTCTGCTTTGGTCTCTATTCTTTGGCTCAGAATGGACAAATGGCCACCAAATTCACAAAAATTGGATTTCTCCTCCTTGAATTTAAATGTTTAGTGAATAAAAATTCAAACTACTGAGATTATTTATTCACTATGCATTTTATCCTATTTTATACCAGTGTGTCTGTTACGAAAGTTTCATATATTCAAATGACTTCTGAATTAGACCTAAAAAAAAGCAAAATATAAACAAAAACCTCTTAACAGCGTAGCTTTTAATGAATTCCAGGTCTAGTTTTTTCTAAAAATGAACTTTTCTTAAACAAGTATAATAGTACTGATTTAAGATGAACTTACAGTAAATATTTTTATTTAGAAATGTAAATTTACAGATTATTTGTTGTAGATTAAAAAAAAAAAAAGCTTTTTAAAATATAGGCCAAATTAAAGTTTTTCAAATTGAAACATTGCTGTGAAGGACTGGGCGATATGGCCTAAAATTAATACCAGGATACTTTGAGGATTTCCCCTCAGTAACGATAAATGGACAACTACAGGTATGTGCAGAAACGAAAGCCGTCCACTAGATGGGGCTGTCGCATGTATTACATTGAGTCACATTTTTACGAGAGTCAGGGTGTTGCAGCTTCTTAAAGGGACATGAACGCAGCCAACCTACACACATCTTTTCATTTTTTTTATTATCAGATTTATTGACACGAGAAAAATTATCACGATGACGGTCAGAAAATTCGAAAACGATAAATTTTCGATTTATTGCCCAGCCCTACTGTGAAGTCTTGCCCGTTTATTTTTTCCTCTGCGTCTCGGCTTGTTAGAACAGTTCCACAGCTCAATTTTTACATCGCAATTGGTAAAAAATATCCATTATGTGTGGGCAGAAAGGAAGGTAGGTCATTTTTGCTGGAAATCGCCTTCATAGAAGCGAAAAATGAAAACATGGAGCTAAACATGTATTTATTTTATACTTTTTATTTTTTTGCATCAGGGCATCGGCTGCTACATGTTCCGCATCGATGACTTCGACGTGGTGGACGCCACCATGCAAGGCAACGCAGCCCGCTTCATCAACCACTCCTGCGAGCCGAACTGCTACTCCCGCGTCATCAACGTGGACGGTCGCAAGCACATTGTCATCTTCGCCCTGAGGAAGATATACCGGGGCGAAGAGCTCACCTACGACTACAAGTTCCCCATCGAGGACGACGAAAACAAGCTGCGCTGCAACTGCGGAGCCAGGCGATGCCGCCGCTACCTTAATTAGTACAATTGCATAAAATCCACAAACTTTTTTTTCCTTATGTGAAGTGCTCATGAAGCCACAAACCATTTTTATGTCAAATCCAGTCGTTTTTGCAATCAAACAAACCAGAAAAGAGCCAGAAATATTAAAAAAAACTATTTCCAGAGTGCAGGGTAAGTTTTGCAGTATTCCTTTTTAGATTAGAGTTACTATTTCACACCCACACTCTTTCAGGTGCTGGCCTCTGGGTTCTCGGTGGGTTATTACCCACACCTACTAACAGTGAGTGCGAGCAGAAGCTGATTGCAGTCATTACTTTGTAAAGAGGGATTCATTCCTGTGCTGTGAGACGTAGCGCCTCTGTACAGAGGAGGAGGATGAGGAGAATTTATTCAGCACCTTACTTTGACACGACCTCCTCCGGCGAGCATCGCCGTCACAGCAGGCAGGGCACGTTTTCGTTCTCACACAAAGTAAACACATTGCACTCGAAGCACCTTGTGTACATTTGTAGAGCAGCTACGTTTTAACTTCGCTCTAGTGAGCAAGGACTTCTGTATTTTAGGTGCTGGTGATATTTGTCCCCTAAAAGTTGTTTCTTTACTGGACGTCCTGTTTCTCCTCGGCTTGGTCTGATTTTTTTTATTTGTAATGGCAGAAATGCTGTCATGTTTTATCCCACTGTCTGTTAGGTTTTTGTGTGTATTTTAAGACTCATGAGGGAAAATGTTTCTTGTTGCAGGGTTCAACATGAATATAATCTTGCTCTGAAATCCCTTATTTTGTATATTTGAACAATAAATGTTTATTCCACCAACTGATGGAAATGTCTTTGAGCTTTTATACTAATTGAATAACAGAGGTTAAGCTTTTTGTTCCTTTTCTCGCTCATCTCAGGTGTGCTATCTCAAAGGTGTTATGAAGCAAATTTTTATTTAAGTACACAAAGGTGGCTCGTTCTTACATTGGTCGGTTTTTATTATACAAAACTAACAAAAACAGTCCTTAAAATACTAACAATGTCCAAAAATCACATGTTTTGGCTTATTTATGTCCAATAAACGAATTGTTGAAAAGGTTTGATTAATCTTGCCAATGTTTTCTCCAAATTGTACTGAATAAATGAAATTTAAAGGAATTTCTGAGAATTATGTAACTTTATTAGAGCATTAATCTTTACTAACTTGTTGAAACAAAGATGTGAAATTTATCTTTCATGACATTTGTTATAATTTAAAAACTAATCATGTTGGTTTTTGTTCAAACTCGTCAAGTACGGAAGTGTAAGCGCTGCCACCCACACAATAAAATTAACGCGGTATGCGATAATTTTAATATTTCAAACTATACTTTCATGTCTGTACAGCACACTATCATGTTTTCACAATATAATTGTAAGAATGGGAAATTAAATTGTACAAATGTGAAAAGTTGTTGGAACGGAAAAATTATCACGTGACATTGCTCTAATTAAATTTTGCGTGGGTGGCAGCTGTGCTTCCATAATGGAGAGACCCCCTAAAACAAAAATGTTTGGAAATAATACAAATCCATTTTTGTAAACATGACAAATATTTGGTGCAATATTAAATAATTAAGAATATGCTCATTTGCATCTCACAGGAATAAATTTGCAGCTCCTTTTATAAATTTCCTGAAGGTTGATGCCACACATTGGGGGGGGGATCTTGTCCCAAGACTTATTTTTTTTTATAAAGCAGGTGAAGTTTCCAAATTCTAACAAAATGTTTTATAGTCATCTAAATTTAAAAAAATCCCAACTTCAGGTAAAAACATTTTCATAATAAAAAAACTTTAAATTTCTAGTATTTAAGGGTCAAATACTCACCTGTGTGACATTGTCAGCTAGGGGTGTGTATAGGGAGTCTAAAGTGTCCACCCCTTCGGCTCATGGGTCCGCTGACAGAAAAAAATAAATGTAATGTATGTGAACAGGGCTATAAATTCATTTTCTGGTCCACTTTGCCTCTGCGCTGAGTCACACATTTGTTGTACTTCACTTTAACTGAAAAATAATTGTGTGTTTTGACTATGTTACATAATCTGAGATTTATCGGTTCGTACAAATTCTTAATTAAAAATACTACAAATTGTATGACTTCACAACAGAATCTCTTTTCCTCAAATGTAGCTGCCTACATGGCCAGATTTATAGTGTTTTTTCCACGTTTAATGCTCCTTTTTACATCCAAGAAGGATCCAAAGCGTGCTAAACTCACAGCAATTTTTCTTCTTTTTCATCTCCTTGTCTGGTTTGTTGACGTAAATTTGGTGAGACGAACAGTTGTAGTCCTCTACGTGTTTTTACACAAAAACTGAAGTAAATTTTGCTGTCTGTTGAAATTGAGCGTTTTTCTGGCATCAAGATGTGTCCTTAAAATCCATGGACATCATAGCACATATCAAACAGGATCAGAAAATAACTTCAGTCTGTCCGTAGAGTCTCCAGGTCATTTTATGGCAGTAGGGGATCCACAGTCCAGAAACAGATGGGAGTGATTGGGCTCCAATAGGGTTGGTGATCGTGACATCACCACAGCCACTGGTCCTTACTTGTTTATCGTTATTGTTGCAAACAGCGTGCTCAGTCTTGTTCTTTAATCTATTATTCAGTTGATATTACGCAACTATGGTAAACTGTTGCTGTGTTGTGGGGGGCAACGTGCGATCGCCAGGGAAAACTGACTAACTTCACCTTTTTCTTGCTTGGAGGTATAATCACAAAGACCAAGTATCTAATGTAACAAATTCTAGTCTTTCATATGGATCCAAACCATTTATAATGCTGACTTTGTTTATATCCCGCTCCCTGGATTCCCTGTGTAACGTACTCCATTCTAAATCCTTTTCAGGATTTTAACTTATTTAACACTTCCTTTCTCCCAAATCTGCGACACACTGTTTGTTTTCACAGTTTGTTTACACTCGTAAGGCCAATATGTCTGCACAAATAACAGAACGCAATTTCATAATTGTGTCTTATCCCGAGCCCTGTTAACAAGAAACTGGCGATGCAATACACCGCGATGCATGGGAGACGATATATCACGATACTAACAGCCATTTTTAAGACTGAATTGATTTTATTGGAAAACTCAGACCAGACAAATCCAAATCACATCCATGGTTGTTGCCAGATCTCATTGTTCTGTCACAAAGAAGGCAGTAACACTACTGCCACCTAGCAGCTGGAGTTTGAAGTGCACCACAAAAGAAAAACAGTTAACGCTTTTATGTAACTTCTCAATAATAAAAAAAATCAATACACTACTTTTAAATGTCGATTCAGTGTCATAACATAGTGATATTTGAGTGCATCATTAATTTCTTACATCCTAGTGTCAGTACAGAGAACTTTATACACGAAACAACTGAAAGGGATAATCTACACAAAAAAAACACAATGAAAATGGTCATTTTACTTAATTTGGGTCAAGGGTTGTGATATAGTGTACAAAGTAAACTTTGCTCCACAGAAAACACTTAGTTGACGGTTAATTTTGACGCCTTTAAGGGTCTGGAACCAGAAGTTGAGGCACATCCATAATTTTTTGTCCCAGTTTCATCAGGTTTGAGATGGTTTACTGGGAATCGTGTCAAACGTTCCGGCTGTTGAGATGGGAAATGTGCCGACTGTTGCTAGATAAATAATATTCACATATTTCTAAATAAACATTCACACACGTTTCTGTCTTGAAAAAAAACTTGCTTTTGATATCAAGTCTTTAATTTACTTCTGTTTGACTGAAGATCAGTGTAACAGCTGTTTACATAAATCAAGAACAGCCTGAAGTGGCAGCGAGCCTCATTTTTAACACCAGTCAAGGTCTTCCTGCTGCCTTTGCCCATATGGCTTTTTCCCATCAGTGTTCACCTCCCAGACTGGCAGGACCAGAGTTTAAAAGGAGCTCCAGTGTGGGCGGTTTCCACATTCACACACCATGAAGGCTCTGGTATTCCTGGTGTTGCTTGGAGCAGCTTGTAAGAAACAAACCTTTTTTTTTGTAACTTTTAGGACATACATTTGTATCTTTGCTCAAGCATTCTCATTTTCTTCATGCAATACTTAAAAAGTCATTTGGTTTGTCAGTTGCTGCAGCCGAGGATGACAGAATTGTTGGAGGATACCAGTGTCCGAAGAACTCAGTTCCCTATCAGGTGTCTCTGAATGCTGGATACCACTTTTGTGGCGGATCTCTCATCTCCAGCTTGTGGGTGATTTCTGCAGCTCACTGCTACAAATCGTAAGTCACACTAAGAATGAGCAGCTCTAAGAAACAAATTAAAAAAACTCTACTTTTAAGTAGTAAAGCCAGGCTCTCGATTTTACCAGTCGGTCTACGTCCCAATCCTCACCTATGGTCATGAGCTTTGGGTAATGACCGAAAGAACGAGATCGCGGATACAAGCGGCCAAAATGAGTTTCCTCCGTAGGGTGGCCGGGCTCAGCCTTAGAGATAGGGTGAGGAGCTCGGACATTCGGGAGGGACTCGGAGTAGAACCGCTGCTCCTCCGGATCGAAAGGAGTCAGTTGAGGTGGTTTGGGCATCTGGTTAGGATGCCTCCTGGACGCCTCCCTGGGGAGGTGTTTGGGGCATGTCCTGCCAGCAGGAGGCCCCAGAGTCGACACGTTGGAGAGGTTACATCTCCATTCTGGTCCGGGAACGCCTTAGGGTCCTGCCGGAGGAGCTGGTGGAGGTGGCTGAGGAGAGGACGGTCTGGAGCTCCCTAGTTGGGATGCTGCCCCCACGACCCGGACCCGGATAAGTGGAGGAAGACGATGACGACAACTTTTAAGTGACTTCTAAATCATTTTTCTTCACAGGAGCATCCAGGTGCGTCTTGGCGAGCACAACATTGCCGTGAATGAAGGAACCGAGCAATGGATACATTCAGCAATTACAACAGCTACAACCTGGACAATGACACCATGCTGATCAAGCTGATCACCTTGCCACCCTCAACAGCTATGTCCAGACCGTGTCCCTGCCCTCTCGCCGTCCTGTGGCCAAAGAAAACTATCTGGTGTTCGCATGGGGCAACACGTCAGCCAACGGAAGTGAGTGAAGTCAGCAAGGAGAAGGTTAAAATCAACAAAATTGAAGCTTATCAGCATGAGCTGGAATTAAAGAGTGATCTAATCAAAGATAAGAGAAAAGCACGATCTACCTTCGTTCCTGTGCTATTTAAAGAAGTTTATTTATGATTTATTAGATGTAAAATCTAAGTTTCTCCCTCCCACTACACAGGCAACTACCCTGACAGACTACAGTGTCTGAGGCAGCCAATCATCGACGACCGAATCTGCAGGAATGCCTACACCCAGCTCTTCACAGACAACATGGTGTGCTCCGGTTTCAGGCAGGGCGGCGCCAGCAGCTGCCAGGTGAGTTTGGGAGCTGAGCACAAGACCAAGCAGAGTGCTTATGTTGTAATTCTAAACAGAACATTTGACTGCTCCCGATTTTCACTCATTGTATCATAAAATATGAAGTTATGAAGAATACGCGATAAAGTTTGGGAACCACTAACATTTTGCCATCAGATTAATTCACCTAATTTCACAGCAGTGGTTCTGAAAATACTGTTTAAATTTTGAATTCAAGAGAATCAAATCTCTTTTTTTGGCGTATTTCAGGGTGACTCTGGTGGTCCTTTGGTCTGTGGCGGTCAGCTGCAGGGAGTCGTGTCCTGGGGTTACGACTGCGCCATGCAGGGACACCCCAGCGTCTACGCTCGCGTCGCGTGTGCCGCTACAACAGCTGGATCAACTCTACCATGCAGAACAATTAAATGCTTGTGGTTAAATATACTTCTGTTAACAAACTGTGTTTAATTCTAATACTCTGCAAGCATAGTAGTGGAAATAAATAATAGCATATACTTGGATCTATTGGTTTTGTTGTTTTTCTTTGACAGCTTCATGCTAACATGCAATTTTTTTCCTCAATAATTCACCTTTTCATGTTTTTATGATCAAATAGCAACATTTTGTTTTTATTATACTGTACCATAGATTCATACTTGTCTATGAAATGCCTTTTCTCCCATGTTACAGTAGGATCTGGATTGATATGGGAGGCAAGCAAACTTGAGTAAATAAGCTGTATAAGATAAAGTTTTTCGCTCGTGTGTGTACTCTGAATACTTCCCTCAGACGGCGCTTTGTAAAATTCTTTGTTTCTTGTTTGCTGTAGCGACCTGAGCACACATGAGAGAAGATAAAAAGATAAAGTAGGACTCTAATGTGTCCAAAACAAAACAGGAAAGCAATAAATACACAAAACTGCTCTGCAAACACAGGTATGACACAATATTTACAGGCTTTGTGTAAGGAAATAACAGTAAACAGGAGCATCTGTAAGAATGTGTTTTTTGGTATTTTGTTTTTATATAATGAGGGCAACATTGTGAGCTGTCGCCATTTTCCCACCTTCAAATAAAAAGTGTAAAAGAAAGTCCCACATTTTAAATAAAGAATTTACAGCAAAAAAAACTAAATGTTTCCCACGTTTCAAACCCACCTGACCAGCAAACCTGTCCAAATCCCTCTGGCTCTGTGGTGTGAGTGGACGACCTCTATTAGCACAAAAAAAAATGTTTTAAATCAAAAACTCATTCAAATCATCACACTATTTTCCTCTGAATCCACGTATATTACCCATTTGGGTCTTATTCCACAATCTTGAGGCTCTCAAGAGCCTGGAAGACCTTCTTTGCCACGTTCCTGGAGCCTATGATGAAGTGGGCGGGGCATACACCGTTCCTCTGACGCCCACCCTAGATCTTGATCATTGAGCCCACACCCACACCCCCTCTCAGGTACAGATGACGAGCAGTAGATGCTGGGCTACATGCAGAAAAAAAAGCGTTCACGCTATATGTTGCAATATGTACCTGTTTGGTTTTATCACAGGAAAGACGTGAAATCTTAAATTCCAACTTATCGCCTGTGTGACATTTTTCTGATATGTACGTCTTGTAGATTACGTCCACATCCGCCAAAGGGATTGTGTGCTTTTACTGTAAATATTGGATACGTTTTGGAACATGTGAAAGACCTGTTTGACTTTACACAATGATCTGTGGAGGTAAATGCTACATGCTAAAACGCTAAAAGCTAAAAATGCTAAATCTGATTCCTTAAAATGATAAATGATAAATGACCTGCACTTGTATAGCTCCTCTCAGAGTAAGGACTCCAAAGCGCTTTACACTACAGTGTATCATTCATCCATTCACACACACATTCACACACTGGTGGGGATGAGCTACGATGTAGCCACAGCTGCCCTGGGGCGTGCTGACAGAGGCGATATACGGGGCTCTATTATGCATAGACACTTTTGTTTCATCTGATTTATTTTTTCTAAAATCTTAGCTGCATGTGGATAAATAGTTAAATCATGTGAAACGGTTGTTGTGTAACCAACCTGCCCTGGTGTAAAACCAGTTGTCATCACAGGGGGCAAGCTCCTTGTGCCTGACGAGCTTCACCGTGACAACCCACTCAGGAATCTCCAGTTTTCCAGATCTGAAAAATCAAACACTGATTGGACTGTTTGTCTGCAAATAAAAGGGATCTGTGTACAATCTTACGTTCAAATACAGCAGTTTAGAAACAGGCAGGAGGATATTTTTCTCAATGAAACATAAAAAGATTAATTTGTTTTGTGATTCAGCCAAGATTGAAGAGATTTCATGATAAAAATACCCTTAAGCACAATGACAGATTGTGTTTTTACAGTGAAGCGTTGAGCAGAACTTGGATCTTTTCATTGAGAGAACACAAATCTACTTCACAATCAAAGAGGATGTCACTGATTTATGAGATGAGAAGAGTGACACAGTACTCGAGATGAAAAGACGCACATTAAAGAAAAACAAATGGTGGATTTTTAAAAGAAAAACCTCAGCAGCATTGAATTAAATTGTAAATAATGTGAAACTGTGAAAAAAATTAATAACAAAAAATAAACTCACCCTGTCATTTATAGAATACTAAGGTGTAAACAAAAAATCATAACTGAATTAAACCATAAAATTTCACAAATATTCAGAAAGCTGTATATGTTGGTCAAAGGTTGAACATTCTCTTAGGATTTGTTTTTATTCATGGTTTCATCAATAACAGTAATTCATGCACATTCAGTATTTTCTCTACAATCTTGGAAATCAACAATATGTTTTTTCTGACAATTATAAGATGGTGTTTGTGTTTTTATGTCAGCAAAAGTTTTGGTCATTGGAACTTTTCAATGGATGCTATTACTTCCTTTCCTTTTGTTGAATCATGACTTTTGACCTAAACTTGAACCAGATTTGGCCACACTGTTTAGACATGTCTTGTGTTCTCTTTATTTTTATTTTAGAACAGGATATGAAGTATTGCTTTTTGAGATCTTGTAGTCTACTTCATGTTGTTGGTTAGGTTCTATTGAAGTGATTTCTTAATCCTACAAGTCTGAAAGTAATCATGTTTGTGTGTGGCTACCGGGATAGATTTACAGCTAGTTCCCCGGTGGTGATGTCAAAAACTGGGAAATTAGCATGCATAAGGAGAGCAGAAGAGCAGATGCTACTGGAGGAGCACCGGCTTTTCTCCGAACCCCTCCTGGATATCGGAGCTTCTCAGCTTATAGCAGCCTGAGTGAGGGGTGGGTAGGCATGGCCAGCCTAGCTTGTTTTCATAAAAATGAAAGGTACTGAAAATGTGAAGGCTAAAATTACAGGGATTATGTGCAAAGAACTTCATGAACATGTTTTATATGGTCCATAGAATCATTTTAAATAAAGAAAAAAGTTATAGTTTGTCTCCTTTAATAAATTATATCATTAGAAAAACCAGTTTTCTATTTAATGCGGTTGATTTATATTTTGTATTTGTTGCTTTGAAACATTAGAATGCAAAAATAAAAATAAAATAAATAAATGTAAAAAACAAGAAATATATATATATAAGAAGAAGTAATTTTTATGTAATTAGCATGTCAGTTGCTCTCTATGCACTGCTCTTCATTAGCCCATTAGCTAACTGTCAGGTCACGTGAACATTGGTGTCTGGTCTGAGTGTTTGACTTACATTTTCAGAAAAGCTGATAAAACCTTAACAAAAAGTCTTGCTGGTTGACATCTTTCACCGTTACACTGGGCATCTAAAAGGCAAATTGGAAACAAGGGTGATTTAAAAAAAAAAGGGAAGCTTTTAATTGATGCGCGCGACGCAGCAGTTGGAGCATTTCCCCCCTAATTTTATCTCTTTTTTTTTTTTTGCTAGCTGTAGATGCAGGACTAGCTAACTAAACCAGATTGGTTCCAACAAGGTAACCACCGCGACATTTGTATATTTTAACTGCATTTGAATCCTTTAAATGATTAAATTTTATCAGTATTTTTCAGATACAATTGAAAGCCACGCGGACAGTTGTGGAGCTAGCTATATTCCAGTTTAGCCAACGCTAACATGAAACATCAGGAAGGATGATGCTGATGAAAGATGGAGTCCTTATTTGGAATAAAATCAAACCATGGCGTGGATAAACCTCACTTCAGCCTCAAGTTACTTACAAACTATTTAACCTGGTAAAAATTGTCTTATTATTTACTTTTATATTTTTTTTAGCTAATTTAATGGCAAAATAACGTTTTAAACCAGCATTTTCAGTAAACACTAAACATTCTGTTTGAATCCCAGTAGAGGGTAGTGTTGTGACATCCTTCTTATTCTGGCCCGTTTTTCTTTTTACAAACAGACCCAGCTGCTTTCTTGAACGCTTCGGAGCGAACAGAGAGGAGACATGAGGAAGAAACCACTTAAAGGTTAGTAAAGCTCGGATATTATAACCTCAAAACGGACCTAAACTGTACGGAAATGACTTGTTTGCAGGTCAAAGAGAGCTTTTTGAATGGATAAGCTAATTAAACATGCAGTTTTGGTTCAAAGGAGATATTGCAGGAAAATATCTTGAATCTTCAGGAAGAGAGTGACTAAATACTTATCAAATTAACAATTATTTTATTGTTTAGCTTGCTCTTGGCCAGAATGCTACATGTACAAAACAAAGAAGTATGTTTTTTTTTAGATTTCATCATACATACCTCATTTACATGCATATCCACTGTAAGGGCAGTATACAGAAAACACAGCCTAACCAAGGTTACCAATTGCACAGCGCTTGTCATTTGCAACTATAATTGCTTTATTTTTCATACCCTATTTATTTACCTTTTATTTGGAGGGGAAAATGTAAATAATTTTCAACAACTTGCAAAAAAGTGCATTTTCCCTATTTTGCAATGATTTAAAAGGCATTGAAGCATCTGCCAACATGACTGAATTTAAACAGCTACAACTAATAGCTTGTGTTTTCGGTTCATTAGTGTGCAGATGACTTTTTGTTCATGGAGACTATGGGAAAAAAATGAAAATGTCAATTATAAATAACCAGGAGCAATGTTTTCTGAATTAGGTTAATAAAACTAATACCCAGTGGAATGGCCTCTCAATTTGATTTAAATTACAGAATCATATCCAGTAGTAGCATTTGTGGGAATTGTAAAGCTCACCTGTTGTTCATTTTATTTTTGTTTGCCTTGAGCTTTAATTAGTTAAACAAATGTTAGATTTGTAATAAAAGTCTAAACTTTGAGCCTTGACAATATTTTTGCACCAATTCTTGAGTTCCAAAGGAAAATTTCCACCACGGTGGACAATAAAGTTTTTATTCAATTCTATACATTGAGATTATTATAATATATTGTTCTGTTCTAGCTGTATTAAAAAAGTAATCTAAGAATTTGTTGGTACATATATTGGTATTGCATTGAAAATGTTGGTTTACTCCTTGATTTGTCATCACCTGCTTTTAACCCATTCTGCCACATTCACTAACTTGTAGGAATTTATTTTTACATGCATTTGGTACCAGATTTGCTTTTGCTGATATTGTGATTTCTAATTCTTAGAAAGAAAGTAATTTCCTTTGTTTTAAGCCGAGATGATGACATATAAGGAAATTTAAAGAACCATATCTGCAAGCTGAAAAGAAAGAATGTAGATTATGTGGAGGGAACAAATAAATATGGTGACAAAATGGTCGATGTTTATCCATCTGCAATCAAATTCACTCTATCCGGGTGGTGCGATTGATCTGGAGAAGTTTTTACCTTTAATTTTTTAAACAATGACAAGCCAAAATAAAATACACCATAAAAAACAAGGCTCTTTTTAAAATGGAAGGAGTAGAAAGTACAAAAAATTGTATGAAGATATGAGTAGAAGTAATAATTCGGCTAATAGATGATTACTCTGGTGAAGTATGGGTAGTTTTCCTCCCCACTGTTGCTACATGCTTGTGTAGTATGAAGGATTGCTGTAAAGTTACTGACACAAGTCAGTGGCTCCATGCAATCTTCTGGGTTTTCTTAGGTAGAAAACTTTTAACTAATTAGAATAATGAACTGAAGTCAATGTGCTGAGAAGTAGATTTAATTGGAATGTTTACTTTGTAAAGTGCTTGAGATGACTTGTTGTGATTTGGCTCTATTCAAATAAACCGAATACAACTGAATGTAATTTTTACTTGACCAAAATAACAAAGTATTTGTACTTTGTTACTTGACTCATTTGTAGATATATTTCCTAGAGTTGTGTGACATTTATTTGAGAAATGTTCTATAAACATAAACTTACTTTATAAATTGTTGAAGCTAATTCTGTTGTTTTTATTACTGTTATGATTGTAAATTTCCACTTCAGTATTCTTGATCTGTTTCTTGTTAACTAAGTAATTTTGACCTAATTTGTTGTTTTGGCACGGTAAAATTATTTAAAATGTTTATTTGGAAATTTTAGAAAGTATATATAAATTCTTTAAAGCAGAAACTGGCAGGGCTAAGCCATACCAGTTATTAAACAAGTAATTAAACATGATTAAGATCTTTTCTTTTCACTGAAATGTAGTTAGTTGTGGTTTGTTTTGTGTCCAGTTAAATATCAATAACATTTCATTATTTATTAAGCAATGCAAAAAATTGTTTTAATTCTAAATGATAATCAATCAAACAAATAATTATTTATACAAAAACAAACAACGGTATTAGGTGGAGCTGACTCAGTGTTTGGCATTCAAGAGAAGTAATAAAAAATCCAAAACCGTTAAAAGACAAAAATATATAAATACAAAAAGTCTGCTTATGAAAAAAGAAACTGAAAATGATCATTTTAGCAATAAATAATTTGTATAATTTGTACATAATCAGTTATTTTTATCCTTCTTCCTCTTGGAAAAAGTTGTGCTTTTCCGTCCTGGGATCTGGGCTAGCCTCTCATTAGCACCAGCATGTGAACGACTGCATCTATGTTCAAGGTGGATGAATGTGTGTTTACAGACATGCAAACATGTTCACATGCAGGACACACACACACACACTCTCAGCAGCTCTGTGCTCTCTATGTCAGCCCGTCTAAGCTCGTTCCCCTCCCCCCTTCTCAACATCTCTCTCCCCTTTTTGTCCCCCTCGCCCTCTCCTTTTCCCTCCCCTCGCGCTCTCCTGCCTGCTAGCACTATTTCAAGCCTCTGCTGAGGAGAGATGGAGGGAGAGCGAGGCAGAGAGGCACAGATGCGCAGTTAGAGAGAGAGGGGAGAAGGGAGGGGAAAGCAGACAGGATTTAGAGTTCAAGTGCACGTGCAGAAAATAGGTTGAATAGAGGAGAGCCGGAGCAGAAAGGAAGCCAGGGAAAAGGAACGGCAGGGGCTACAGACGAAGCACACACAGGCGCTTTATGCTCGTCTTTCTTCCTCTCTGTTTTTTTTTTCCATAGAAAGAGAGGGCATTAGCTTTGGAACGCAAGGGGTACAAAGAAATGCCCAAAATTTTAATTCCTTAGGTGTAAAAGAAAGAAAATGATTCCCTTTCCTGCCCCCCCATCTCTCTCTCTCTCTCTTTTTCTTTTCCATACTGACACACTCCTCCTCTATCCCTCCCTCATGGATATTTCTCCATTAACCTCCAGTCTCTCTCTTTCTCTCCGACTCTCCTTTTTCTCCCCTCCCACCTCTTCACACACACATGCACACGCCCCAGACTCCTTCCCACTCATTTTCCTCACGCGCCCTTACTATCCACTTTCACTGGAGGCCAGCTGCAACGAGCTCAGGTTTTGCCTTTTACTTTTTGATCTCTTTTTCTCTTTCGGTTATGCCTTCATTTGTGGAGGCAACGCCACTCAGACGCTTCGCCCTCACTACGCGTGGCGCCCCTGAAAAACGTAGGCCGTGGATTGTCGCTTCATTTGACTGCATGCCACAATCCGCTTGTCCTTTCCTGTCAACAGTTTTTTCTCTCCTTCTGTAGCATTTTTTTTCCTGCGTGGAACTCGTCTGCTGTGCAGAAACCTGTTTTTTTTTAAAGTCCTCTCTGTATTCAGGAGCTGAGTTGAGGGAAGGAAAATCGTGTACGATGTACAGACGTATGAAAGAGAAAGTGGCCCAAAAAAAAAAAAACGAGGGAAATGGAAAGCGTGGTCTGCTGTGTGAAAGACAGGGAAAGGGAGAGAAGAGAGTCATAGGGGTAAGAAGAGTACCAGATCTGGGAAGAGAAGAAGGAAGATGACCAGCTGGGGATAGAACCAAGAAGGAAGGACAGATAGATAAGAATTGGAAAAAATCAGACAAAAAAAGAAACAAACTTTGGAATTTTTAGAAATGGGACTTCTCCTCAAACTCCGACTTCTCTTTGATCACTTTTGAATTTTGTTTTCTGACCTGATATTTCATCACTTCTGCGATCTTTCCTCTCATTCATTTGTAAGTATACACCATGTACCTGTCCTCCCCACATTGTCTACGCCTTTCCCTTTTCCCCAAGGCATTCTCCTTCCCCCCACCTACTTTATTTTCAACTCTCCTATTTCTTGTTCTGTCGTTTAAAATATGCATTCCCTAGGTTGTTAATCCCCCCATCCTGTTCGTCTATCCCATCTCACGCTCCAGCTCTCGCCCTCTTTCAGTGCCCCTCTCTATTCCCCCACCTCAGACCTTCTGTATCTTGAGTTATTGCCGTTCTCTTTGCTTCTCCTTCAAGGATTACCTCTGCTCACGTTTAGATGAAGGAAAGGAATCACATAATACACCCAGTTTAGAGAGGCCCGGGTATGTGCATTTCTATCAGTGTATATTTTTGTGTCCATGCATGCATGCGTGTGTGTGTGTGTGTGTGTGTTAATATGCTGTGGTGAGATTTAGAGTTAATAGCCGGCAGTGGCGGACAGTCCCTCCCTCCTACGCATGCGCGGGTTTGCAGAATCATCTCCTGTTTTACATTGTTGTTGATGATGAAGTGCTCAGAAATTAAACATAAGGTGGAACAAAAAGGAGAAGTGAATCCACCTCAAATGTTGCTGCAGGGTTTCATCATCTCCTCTGTACTTTCCCAGGTCCCCCCCCCCCGTCTTTGATTCGCCCATCCGGGTATTCCCGATTCCGTTCTGTCTCGTTCAGTAGTCTGGACCTTTACTTGCAACAAGCTTGCCATAGTATGGTAAAGATTTTAGTTACTTTCAGCGGAAGGTGGAAGATTTGGGGCATTTGCGGACATATTTGCAAATAAAGTGTTGACCACAACAAACAGAGTCATCATTACAAGACGAATATGGTTTGAATAATGCTAGACGGTATAGATACGCAGCTAATTCAATGTAAAAACATTAAATACATAGATTTCATTCTGAAATGTTTTATTTTCTATCTCTTCCTGTTATGTTGCTTTTTTATTTCCAAAACTGTTTGTTATCTCTTCACACATTTCCTAAATCATTATCTAACGCCAGGATTGTTAGCTGTTATTGTTCATAGGAGAGCGAGTGCATGTGTGTTTCAGAAACACTCTTTATTGTCAGATTGGTCGTGGGTATAAAAGTTCCATAAAGTTTGTTTTTATTCAAAATGGTCAAGTCAAAATGATAATTGTGTATTAGAGACCGTTGGATGGCAGTCGCTGGCCTAGTTAAATAATAATCATTAGAGTCTAAATGTGAGCTGATTCAATTCAAATGCAATGATTTAATTAATACACAATGATATGACCTTTCTGGGCAGACAGCATCACTCTGATAAGCCGTGGGGGGATGAAGCTTTTGTTTAACAGCGTCCTCGGGTCAACCTTCCCTTGACCTCTACAAACACACTCAATAACGTGAGGGGAAAAGTTTTTTAAGCCAAAGTCTCGCTGAAACGAAACATCTGCCCGTGTCAGAGAAACTCCCAAAGAGGGTCAGAGAGACAAATCTTCCCCAATTATTTATCTTTATTCTTTTAGGGTTTCATATCAGACTTTATGTTCCGTATCTTAACACGCCAAAGCCCCTTTGATTCAACTGTGGAGGGAATTTGATGATTCTACTAGTGTGGTGGGACCCCCAGGTTATGAAATGTTACACAGACAGCCCTGATGTTATGTAATCTTACATAACCGAGGCGGCAGCTCAGCAGGCTCGTGATCAGAGGCTCTGGAGGAGAAACTGCATGGGTCTGCTTATGGTATGAACTCACTGGCAGGGTCAACGCACTCCTGAATACCTGGGACTTAAAGGGAAGAGACCTCAACTCTAAAAATGTATCACATAATCTGTACCTATAGAAGAATGTAGAAAACATCACTTATTTATTTTTATACCGCCTTCTTTTCCCCCAGAATAGTAAAGATATAAAAATACAACAGCTGCTTGTCTTCCCCATGTTTCTATACCAGCTCTCTATGAGTCTCACGTGTTTCTCATTCATAATTGATGACATCCAACCACAGCATACATTAATGGATTGAACAGACCTCAGGAATTCCCATGCAATCTGCCACAATGTGTAGCAGGTTTGATTGCGTGCTGCTAAATCTGTGTCTTTGTCGCCGAGCACGATAAACCGACAACTGCAACGGTAAATAAAAACGGTGCAAAAGATGCCCTCTAGAAGAAGCTGTTAGTGCAGAATTACAAAAGAGATGATTAAAAACAGCTGCAGTAGCGCCAAAACGATACAAACGGGTGTTGCATTGGCAGTATTTCACTGTTTATGTTGAATATTGAATAAAATGAAAAATAAAACAAGCTTGCCATACGTTCAGCGACTCTAATATTCATTCTGTGTATGTTTTACTTTAGGTAAAGGATGTCATAACAAGACTTCACAACATGAATTATGAAGGTAAGGTTTAATTATTGATCTGTTCAAATGTATAAAATTAGAAACAGTTTGTGTTCATTTACTCCAAAATGAGTGCTTTTGTAAAGGTTTGTACGAAATCATGCCATTTAGATTCTAAGAGCACTCAGCAAACAGGAACACTCTGTCAGCCATTTCAGACCGATCGAAATGTCAATGCTCCATCAGTATAATTGAATTAGTCTTCCCTGAGTCATTCTGTCATGATTAACCCAACAGATATGTGCTAACCGGGGAGCAATCTGAAACCAACAAACAGACACATCTTTCATTTTCATAGCGTGCCTGTTTAGTAAAATATTCCAGGCTGTGACTTGTGTTCGTTAGCAACAAGTAGAAAGGTCATCAGGTGGTCATGTCCTGATTATCAGACGCTGTTGAAAAGCGAGAGTCTGCGGGCATAATGACGAGCCTGTGGTTTAGCCTTGAAGCTAGCCTTGGAGATGCCTCACATTACATATCTGTCTTTGTGCTTATGTCACCCCATGCCCCTGACCAGCAGCACCAGAATAAGAGCTACATTCTGCCTCTCCCCCCCATACAATAGAGAAAGAAGAAGAAAATATCATTTCTATAGCGCCTCTCAAGATGAAAATCACGAGGCGCTTCACAAAAACAAAAAATGTAAAAATATAAAAAAAGAATTTAGAAAATGGTTAAAAATATATTTAAAATGAGCAATAAATAGACAATTGTGATTTTAAAAAATGTTAAGAAAGAGAGAAAGTGAGTAGATGAGAGGGAAATCAGTGGATCCTGAGGAAGGTGGAATAGGTGGGGAGAGCAGAATAAAGAGAGAGTGGTGAAGAGCCCTTTTTGCCCTGAGATTTTCACAATGTCTTCGCACAGTCCTTTGCACACATGTGCACACGGTTCTCTGCGGGAAGCAGAGAGCTGTTGATTAGTCTGATATCTTAAATCTCGTAGTAGGAGTTTGTGCTGCAGTTTGAAGAACTCCGACTCCACTTTGGCTAAGCGTTCACACCACGGGTTGGGTTTTCAGATACATTTCATAGCATGCACTGCTGCTGATTATGAAATAAGTCTTCATTCTAGACAGTTAAAGTAGAGTGAATGGGTCAGTTACAGAGAAATCATAGCAGTGTTGTAGCACAGGTCATCGTCTGATGGCAAGAGGATCTCTGTCCTTACCCATCATTACACAGACGAGCCAGCCACCTATTTTAGCATGCACTCTGCTTACTCTCTCGTTCTCTCTCCGTCTGTTTTATCTCCCAGGTCCTTCTCTCCTTTCTTTTCCTTGCATTTCATCACTCCATCCTTTGTTCTTGCTGCTTGCTCTTTGTCTCTGTGTCCCTTTTAGTTAATCTGTCTGTCTACTGCACTGTCCTACTTTGCTTCACATTTTTCTCAACCTTCTTTCCGTCTTTTATTTGTCCCCATGCTCTCTCTTTGTTTTTTTCTCTCTTTCTCTCTCTCTCTTGCTTTAACAATTCCTGCCTTGCGGTATTTATACGCCAGATGTCATTATTCTGTCGTTGTCGTTTGGTTTATCCCATCCAAAACCTTTCAGCTCCAATTTCTTTCCGTTTTCCTTGGTTTCTGTGTATTTTGGTGGCATATTGAGTTCAGTGCTGCAGGCGCTTTCAGATGGGGCATAAAAAATAATGTTTTCAAAAACGCAGGTGCGCTTGTTATTAATGCCATGCAGAACCACACAGAACACATGAATCTGGTCATGTATGATTCATACGGTGAGTTCCTACTCACCACTCCCAGGTACCGGCTCTCTGTATTCCTGAGTGGAGGAGTTAGTAGATTTTCACCTCCTCAATGGCAGCAGGGGTGACAGACTCACCCTCAGGGTCAGAAGTGTTTCGGCTGATGGCAGATGAGGCGATCTGACACACAGTGATCCTCACTCACATGCTTCCCTGACTGGAAGCACTTTTTAGACTTTTTTTTTTCTTTTTACGCAGATGTGCTCAATTATATATCTGATATACATAATGCAACACACATCTGGACATTAGCTTTCATATCCGTGCAGAAATACATGTATAAACCACTTGTGGCTTCAATTATTATAACATACGGTTTCTCTTTGTGTCGATTAAAGTTTAGAAACTAATTAAAGACAAGAAATCTAAAAAAATGACAAAAATATGATTTGAAAATTAGTAAATTTTGTTGTACACCTGTGCAATGACAATAAATGATCTTGAATGTTTATTCATCAGCAAAAAGCATCTCACCTATCTCATCTGGGAGTCTGAGAGATTTTACAAATAATTATTAATCAAAAGAATTTTCACGACTAAACAATTATGACAATGATGATGATGATGATGTTGATGAGGGGTTTGTGTGTGTGAATGAATACATAGGTCCTAAAATTTGGGACTTGTAATAATATTAGAAATAATAATAATTATCATCATTCAAATTCAACTTTATAAATATGTAATAAACATTTCCTCCTATTATTTAAAATATAGCTTAAAATTTCACTCACTCAGCCCTCAGTTATAAGTTTTTATAAATTACTTAAAAATAATAAACAAACAAACAAACAGCCATCCCAGTTCCCATACAAAGGAACAACATAAAGTTACTGCACGACCGTCTAGCTGCCAGTAAGAAAACTGTTACAAGGAGACGGTTTAACCTGGAGGACAGGCACTAAACGATTTCAGAAATGTATAAAATGTAAAATATTACATAGTCTCTCAGAACTCAAAAGGTTCAAATCTGGAAACATTTGTTCATTATTATTCACTCCAATTAATTTTGATTTCATGCAGCATGTCAAGAATTATCTTCCTGTTTTATACGGAAATGGTAACTTAAAGTGTCGTAGTTTGTTTATTTAGCTAATAGGATAAAAAGTAAACGTATTCTAAATTAAATTGTAAGAGGACTATGTAAAACTGTTTTGCACCTTTTCCCAGTAAAAAAAGATAATTACAAAAAAGAAATAAATAGACCACAGTTTAACAGATCAAACAAACGTTGGACATTTAACTCGTCGTCATCTTTTTTCGTTCATTTGCCATGTTTAGGTTAGATTAAACCTAAAGTTGTGGATTTTTAATCTGACAGAAGACAGTAATATGAAAACAGACAAATGTTTAGTTAACTTTAACTCCAGCCTCACTTTAGTGAAATTATAGAACAATTTTGAATAGATTGGATTGGGGATTTCGAGCTGGTTAGATCCCCTTTCACTCAGTGTGTGTGTGTGTGTGTGTGTGTGTGTGTGTGTGTGTGTGCGTGTGCGTGTGTGTGTGCGTGTGTGTTTTGGGTTTAACACAAAGCACCTAAAGCCCTGGCAGTTTCAGACAGTGAGAGGAGGTGAGACGTGACTAATAGAAGTGACTGATGATGTCACAGACAGCATCGTGCCGCTTTAGCTGCCCCCCTGACCTGGCTTTAGGATGGCGGCAGCGGCGCTCAAGCACCCGTGGGTAACACACGCCAAAGCACATTAGAGGCAGGGAGATGGAGAGAAGCGGGTAGAGAACACACATAACACAGCTCAGGGGGACAGAGAGAGACAAACAATGAGACAGACAGAAAGAGAGACAGACGGGTGGGGGTGTCAGATTTAACAGCACAGAAAGCTAGAAAAGCTGAGAGACACGGCAGAGTGCTTCTCCATGATTCTTGTTTCTTTTTTCAGCAGACTGTCTGGTTGGAGCTGATGTTCTACATCAGTGCCTCGGGTTTTTCTCGCTGTTTTTCTCACACCCGCTCAGTGAGCGGCTCCATGGTTATGCTCCATGTATGTTAGGACACCAACGAGTCAGCATGGGAGGCAAAACGATGGCGGAGTTTCAGTAATCAGTTTGTTTTTTTCATTTGTAAAAAGAAGCGTCACTTCCAGTTTACAGAATAAATCCTTATATGGCACCTAAGAGTTAAACATATATTTTTATCTTAGTTTTTCACCTCATTTAACCTTATTTATATCCATGACAGCTTTGTGTGCTGAGTGAAATCGCCAAAGGTGAAAATGATAGCATTAGTTCAGCGAGGCTGAAATGAGTGACAGTGAAGCTGCTTAGTTTGCTGCCTCAGACATTACTCTTCATGCATGTCTAATAGATGGACTCAAAAGTCTCTCCTGGGTTCAGTGAATGCTACAAAATATGCAGTTTAAGATGATTTAAAAGGAGCAGCAGGAGCATTGATTTAAGTCAAAGATGCAAAAACACAATAATATGTGTAATCTTTGGTGCAGCTGACATATAAAACTTTGGGCAGATGCAAATAAATATAACGACAAATCCTTATAGGACTGCAGAATGAGCCATGATGTACTAATGCTTACTTTAAAGCCTTTAAAACATTTGACAGGTGATTTATTTTTTTCTGTATTTTACAATAGCAACACAATTGGGAAAGTGAAACATTATTTTTGTTTTCCCAGCACTAAAGAATAGAATTTCATCTATTAAGTAGGCATTTTATAGATTAAACAAGTAGCCAAACATTTAGAAGGGAAAATAAAAGATTTGCTGTTTTAAGTTAAATATAGAAATGTTTGAAATTATTTAGATTGAATTCAAGTGTCTACAAAACACTATTTAGCATTTCTTCTTATGCACACGTGATTTAAATGAGTTCAGGTACATTTATCTCTAGAAGAGTCAGTACAAACATTACGAAAATGGTCTTAGTATCTAAAAAACCTTAGGCTGAAATCATAGATTGTTGTTCAGTCAGCTCCCTGCATTTGTTTTCACAACGATCACTTCAAAATCACATCGTGTTCCGACTCCCAAAAGGCTCTTGAAGCTTTTTGCAATCAGGAAAAGGCACCAAACGAGGCAATCATGTTTGCTATTTCAAGGTGACGCTCTAACGGAAAAGCACCTAAAATGTTTTAAAGCATTGGTTAAATTTGCTCCTCCATAAACAGACCTGTAATAAGTGAAATACAGAGAAAAGCACCTGAAAAGTAATCTTTTATTTAAAAAAAGCTGTCCCTGTGTCAGACAGCGATCCAGATTCACGTC